CAATATGTGCCTGCGCCTTCCAGATGCACTGAGTGGAAAACATCTCATGCTGTAGTGGTGAGAGTTGTGCGTGTCTTTCAGTGCAGTGTAAACAAAAGATATGTTAGACGAATTATTACAAGTTATTAAAATGATTATGCATGTATGAACGCAGACGATAACAACCGTTCATTTAAATACTTGAGGTGATTTAAAGCAGAATACACAATGGCACTCAATTAAACATGTCTACAGTGAAAAGGAACATGTTTACTTCCTGAGTAATAAACGCACAGCAGTGCCACATGAAGAAAGGACGGACTTTGAAGGAATAAACAGTGCGTGGAGAGCTCCATTATAGTGCACTGGACAAGTCTGAACAAGTTCTGCCCACGCGTGCACGAGGCAGGCATTTCTGTACAATTACGTAATTTATTGGCTTAAAGATATCGGCCTAATTTAGACATCGGATCGATAACGATAATCTTAAAAATACCATTTATCGGCCGATAACGATATGGTCGCCGATATATCGTGCATCCCTAAAATACATAATTTTTAAAACATTTTGGGCTGAAATTAGGGGTGTCAAAGTTAATTGTTTCTTCGGTGCACCACGATGCAGACGCGGACAATTCGGTATCGGTTCAGTAATAATCATAACCGGTTATTATGTACTGACGTCATTTATCTCATATGCGCTCTGTCGCGAGGGAGGTGAGCGCAGGTATTTAAAACACTCCCGGCGCCAACTGTGCACAATTTCACTGCGTGTGTGTGATTTCTGTACAGTCTTTCATTGATATTTACAGCAGAAGCCCCTATTTCTATGCGATTGAGGGAATGAAAGAACTTCATTTTTCTCTCTCTCTCACTGTGGCCCATTTCACCTGCTGGCGTGACTTTTCCTCTCGGCTGCTGGCGTGACTTTTCCTCCCTTCTCTTTTTCTCTCAGCTGTATGCATTCCTGCAGCTGTACCTGTGCATTGTCGCGAGACCCGACCAGATTTCATGCAACGCGGGAATAAATTTCTGAATAAAGTGCGGGAGCGGTCGGTAACTGGTGTAATTTTAACAGGAGTGGGCGGTCTCACAGTACCACTCCCGAGCGAGCAAGCGAGCGTTTGTGTGTGTGTGTGAGCGCAGGTGTGTGTGTTTGTTTGGTGCTGTCTATGTTTGTTTGTGTGTGAATGAGAGACAGTGTGGTGCTGTGTGTGTGTGTGTGTGTGTGTGTGTGTGTGTGTGTGTGTGTGTGTGTGTGTGTGTGTGTGTGTGTGTGTGTGTGTGTGTGTGTGTGTGTGTGTGTGTGTGTGTGTGTGTGTGTGTTTATACGGACAGCTTGTTATAGCCACCCCCCAAAATACAACACTGTGTATGGAAAGCATCGTCAATGCACCGTGATGGACCGAGATATCGAATTTAACTGAATCGATGGCATGATAATCGTAACCGAACCGTGAGACCAGTATAGGTTCATACCTCTTGCTGAAATTCTAGCTGTAACATCTGTGCTGCTAACTACTAAAAACTATTGACCTTATTCCTGACATACAGGCAGTCGCAGCCATTGTAATCTTTTTGGCTGGAGACTTCCTGTTTCATTCACTTCCATTAATTTCCAGATGTTAAAAACAGCTTGTTATCCTGCTTCATGCTGCAGACTGGTATTTTCTTTTTTTTATTACATTATTCTCCTTTTAATGTATGGTCATGAACATACTTGTTTGTAGAGCAAGTTGTTTGTAGAGTAGTTTGACCGCTTTCTGCCGTTTATTATTCATAGTCATTTATCCAGTTGAATTGGAAGTTCCAAAACAGTCACAAAAACGAGGCTTAAACCAAAACACTTCCGGATCGCAGAACAAGATGAATAGACTAACGCTGTGTATTTTCTTGTTTCTGTCAGTGTTACGGGACATTAGTGAGAGAGGGCGAGAGTTGGAGCAGGTTCTGAACCAGTACATCACCTTTGTGAAGCCAGCCTTCGAGGAGTTCTGCCTTCCTGTGAGTAAACACAGATATTCACATATTTCTAATTAAATCTGACTCTGCCTGCACTGTTTTGTCATGACGGATTATGTTGATTATTTTACCATGTATAATAATATTAAGTTTGTATTTAACATTTATTTTTGCAGACTAAAAAGTATGCAGATGTCATCATCCCCCGAGGCGCAGACAATCTTGGTATATTAATGTTAAATTTTTTATTTGCTATACACATTATGAAGATTTTTTCAGATCTTTTCACATTTACTTAGTGATGTACACAAGCCTGTTTACATTGGATATACAACACAATTAAACACGAGAATCTAAAAAATGTATTATAAAAACAAAATAAGCAAATATAAAACTTTTTTTTGTTTTGACTGTGCAGCTTTTGATTTATAATTACTGCATTGTTTAATGAGGTAAACTCAAAGAGATATTCAGGAAAGTTTTATTAGGAAAAGTTACAGAATATTTAGTGTACTAATGTTAAAGGTGCAGTAGGTGATCTGCCGAAATGCTAACCGCTCGGCATATTATCTTTGGACGGCAGGGAGGGACTGTGATTCAAAGCCACACCCCCTGAAATCGCGAGCGCGCGCACCGCATCACAACAGCAGACAGACAACACACTAGTTCATGTCATTCGCCAGTTAGTGCCAGCGCCGTGCAGGAATTACATTTATTACTTAGCCACACTTACATGCTATTTCAGAGCGAATATTCAGAGTAGCGGTAAACAGTATAGGAAGGCTGTCATTGTTCAAAAATGACCCAATGTGAATATAAAAGCAGCTTCAGCTCAATAAAGCAGGTTAGGCGGAATAGCGCTATTTACTGGTGTTTTGTTGTTAAACTAAATATAAATTAACATTATAGATGCTGTAAAAGGTCCTTATGAAACTGAAAATAATCACATCAATCTTTCACCAGGAGATTTCAGTGGCTGAACAACACGTCTGTGCATACAAGTCATTCATAACAGAACACAATCTAACATAAGCTTAGCCTGACTAAACTAGTTTTAAAACAGAACATTACCTGTCTAACAGTAATACTTCAGCCATGGTGTCGTCCTTCCTCCAACGTAAAGTAACTCCAATATTGATTCAGGTTTTTAAAAGTTTCATTTCAGCATTTGATTTCTCCCGGTCCGTCTCTTGAACGTGCGGCCACTTATGCAGACTGGCACGCGCGAATGGCGGATCTGCGTGATCTACATGTCCGAATCTACATTTGCTGACAGACAGTCTGACCTGCTTATTGGATTTATGGGAGATGTCGGACCGACTCTATTTAATTGGATGAACATTTTTTTAGTTTTATGCTTTACCCAGAATATAAAAATACTTATAAATACATTTAGATCATTTACTGCAATCATCACTATTGGACTGTGAAGAGACTTTCAACCAGCACAACAAAAAATGTTTCTGAAGACAATCACCTACTGCACCTTTAATTTAAAATCTTTGCTAATTTATCTTGTTAATTTGTGTGTTTTTTTCTTTCTAATTATTTTTAATGTGTTGCTTTTGCCTGAAAATAGCATCTGTTGCTGAAATTGGCATTAAAAGGCACCTATCATGCCCCTTTATACAAGGTGTAAATTAAATCTCTGATGTCCCTAGAGTGCGTGTGTGAAGTTTCAGCACAAAATACACCACAAATAATTTCTTAACTCTCTTTGAAACTGACCCTTTTTAAGCTGTGATCCAAATCGAGCCGTTTTAGTGACTGTCGCTTTAAATTCAAATGAGATTGTGATTGTAAATAACATTAAGGGCTCAGAGATATTAGGAGAATATGTTATTTAACAATCATTATGAAGACCGATTTAACATCAGATGTACATTTACTTCCCTCTCTTCCCTCTAGTGGCTATTAATCTGATCGTGCAGCATATTCAGGACATCCTGAACGGTGGTTTCACCAAACGGCAGAACGGTTTCCAGAATGGCCACGGGACGCCCAGACAAAGACGGACGTCTGAGTCCAGCAGACCTCACTGACACCACTACAGCCTTCCCTCCATTGAGGAGAGGGCAGAACTCAATAATACCAGCAGAGCATCCCGTTTATCCTGTGAGAATGAGGGATGCTGCAGCTGACTTGCCTTTGTTATTGTTACCGTTATTTTGCATTTGAAATGTTGTCATGGATGATTGTTTGCTTTTACAGTTCTTTTTCCCTAAGGGTTTTGATGGTGCTGTATGTTTTTGGAAGGTTTTGATTGATTGATTCGACCTGCGCTGTCAGCTTTCTCATCTACTCCGAAAATAAACAAATTGTATGAAAAGTCAGACTGGAAGCGGAGTAAACGTGATCACAGTGCTTTCAGCACACTTACTTGAAGTCAGAGCTCAGGTCGGGTGGATTATTTCATCCACAAAGTAGATATAAACCCTAGTTACCTCATATTTGAGGCCAATTTTTTAGTGTGTGTGTGTGAGAGAGAGTGAATCATGTAATTAAGATGACAATATGGTACACACGTTTTTATATTGTCACTAATTTGACCTTATTTGAGTAGATTTCTAGTGAAATCTTGTTTTTTGTTATTACAATTGTAGTGTTTTGTACGTATGACGTGACAACATTGTGTACTTTATTAGCAGGGTTTTCTGAACACACTATCACAATAGTCAAGTATAGTTTTAGCCAGATAGTATTGCCTAAACCACAATGACTCAAATCAGGGATTATGGTCAAATATGTTTCTTATTTTAAAACACAAAATACCTCAACAGCATTTATTGTTAACTTTAAGTACGTGAAGTGTACTCTGTTCAGTAACCCAGGGCACTACTTTAAAACGCCTGTGTTTACTTCCCCCCCCCTCACGCCTCTGTGGCTGGTATTTTTATGTAAAATTCTCCCTCGGATGGTTTTTTTTTAACGTATGATCCATTGCGTAGTGGTGAAATAAAATAAAATCATAAAAACTAAACTGCTTATGTGTGTTTGTGTGGGTTACTCTTTCTTCCATCGTTTCACGAGTGTAATACCAGACATGACCGATGGGAGGCGCTGCTGAGCGGCATCCGTCGCATGTGAATGACGTAGCGTAGTTCAACATGGGGGTATGTGTGCTGTAAATGTGTTTTAATTCAAAGATAATAAGTGATAGATCTCTCTTATAATGCTTTCTTTTATTGCCTATAGAAGTTTGGGCTGCAGTTTAAAGCCACTTTGGAGAATGTTACGAACGTAAGGCCCGAAGGGGAGGATTTCCGCTGGTATTTAAAGGTAGATGTGTTCAAGTCGCTAATGTGTGCAGAACTATGACAGACATTAAAAATACCACCCAAATTAAAAACATGGTGTAGTAGTTTAGAGTAATAATATAGTGTTTTTGAGCCATACTATAGTAAAGTAGAACACTGTATACATTTATTAAAGTATGTATAAATGAGGTCCCTGCTGAAAAAGCCAGCTTAAACCAGCCTAGGCTGGTTGGCTGGTTTTAGCTGGTTGACCAGCCTGGTTTTAGAGGGGTTTTGACCATTTTTAGGCTGGAAAATGACAAGCTAAAACCAGCTTGACCAGCCTGGTTTAAGCTGAACATAGCTGGTTTTGGCTGGGCTTCCAGCCTGGCTAAGTCAAGCTGGTTTTAGTTGGTCATCTCCTAGCCTGACCAGCTAAGACCAGGCTGGAAATGGCCAAAACCCCTCTAAAACCAGCCAACCACTAGGCTGGTTTAAGCTGTTTTTTTCAGTAGGGGTCCCAGATACCAGAACGTTTAATAGTTGATTAGGAGCGTCCCCGAGCTGCATTTGTTATTATATTTATTTACAAAAACCTCGGCACTTCTGGGTGTTAATCCTGTCAAGAAAAGACAATGTACAAAATTTGTGCTCATGTTTATATGGAAACCGAATCCCTAAAAGCTAAAAAAATGACCTTGGTTTAGGGAAAACATTGTGTTATGCTAATGAATGCTTCAACATACTTGTAGTATTAATAATAGCGAACTAAAAAAATTAGTACTGTAGTATACTTTAGTTTTAAACCGGTAAACTGTGGTGTATTGTAGTATTACAACAACTATATCATAATAAATGACCCAATACTGAAGCGTTAATGTTTTCTACAACTATTATGTGATGCACTACAATAGAATTTACAGGTTTTGTTTTTTTCAAACGATAGAATTGCCACAACATAGTAATTAAAATACTTTACCATAGTATGGTTCAGAACACTATAGATGATTACTGTAGGATATATTCACAAGGGTGTATGTTGACCCACCGGCCACTTTATTAGGTACACTAGTACTCTGTTAGATGCCATTTTGCCTTCAGAACTGCCTTAATCCTTCGTGGCATAGATTCAACAAGGTACTGGAAATATTCCTCAGAGATTTTGCTCCATAATAACATGATAGCATCATGCAGATGCTGCAGATTTGTTGGCTGCACATCCATGATGTGAATCTCCTGTTCCACCACACCCCAAAGGTGCTCTATTGGATTGAGCTCTGGTGACTTTGTAGGCCATTTGAGTACAGTGAACTCAATGTCATGTTCAAGAAACCAGTCTGAGATGATTCACGCTTTGACATGGTGCGTTATCCTGCTGGAAGTAGCCATCAGAAGATGTGTACACTGTGTTCATAAAGGGATGGACATGGTCAGCAACAATACTCAGGTAGGCTGTAGCGTTGACATGATGCTCAACTGGTACTAATGGACCCAAAGTGTGCCAAGAAAGTTTCCCCCAGAGCAGTACACCAACACTACCAGCCTGAACTGCTGATACAAGGCAGGATGATACAAAAGCATGGATTCATGCTTTGATATTGTTGTCGACAAATTCTGATCCTATCATCCGAATGTTGCAGCTGAAATCAAGACCCATCAGACCAGGCTATGTTTTTCAAATCATCTACTGTCTAATTTTGGGGAGGCTGTGTGAATTGTCACCTCAGATTCTTGTTCTTAGCTAACAGGAGTGACACTCAATGTGGTCTTCTGCTGCTGTAGCCCACCCGCCTCAAGGTTGGACGTGTTGTGCGTCATTTAGAGATGCTCTTCTTCTACAGACTTCGGTTGTAAAGTCCTAGTAGATCAGCAGTTTCTGAAATACTCAGACCAGCACGTCTGGCACCAACAACCATGCCACGTTCAAAGTCACTTAAATCACCTTCCTCCCCATTCTGATGCTCGGTTTGAACTGCAGCAGATCGTCTCGACCATGTCTAAATGCATTGAGTTGCTACCATGTGATTTGCTGATTAAAAATCGAGCAGTTGGACAGGTGTACCTAATAAAGTGGCCAGGGAGTGTATATCAGCTGTATTTTTTAATGGAAACTTTTTATGTTTCATAAATATAATGTCGATTTTTAGAAGCTTATGCAGAGTCTTGTTTTTGTGAACAATACTAATAGTTTGGTTAATGTTTGATGTGTTCATGCGATTTAATGAACTGACTCTTTCAGCTGAAGTGTGGGAATTGTGGCGAGGTGTCGGATAAATGGCAGTACATCACTTTACTGGTAGGTTGCAAAGTGTAACTACATGTAAACAATTAGCTTTAAATGCATATAAGCAAGGCGACACGGTGGCTCAGTGGTTAGCACTGTCACCTCACAGCAAGAAGGTCGCTGGTTCAAGTCCCAGCTGGGTCAGTTGGCATTTCTGTGTGTAGTGTGCATGTTCTCACGGTGTTGGCGTGGGTTTCCTCCGGGTGCTCCAGTTTCCCAAAGACATGTCTATAGGTAAATTGAATAAACTAGATTGGCTGTTGTGTATGTGTGTGAATGAGTGTGTTCCTCTGTACTTGGCTGCAGCTGGAAGGGCATCCGCTGTGTAAAACATGTGCTGGAATAGTTGGCGGTTCATTCTGCGGTGGCGTCCCCTGATGAATAAATGGACTTAGCCAAAGGAAAATGAATGAATAATTGGTATTTTTGTGAATCCATTTTTGAATTTTATAAAAACAGTACATCATGATTTGTTTTGTCAAAATAGTTTTCCCCATTGCTTTGTTGGTTTGGTATACTGTATCTCCTCCCTTTTATTATTTTTTTATTATTTTATCTATTTATTTTTATATACTGTGTGTTTTACTTTAGTTTGTTGCTTAGTTTCGATGTTCTGTTTTGTTAACTTTTGAATAAGTTCAATAAAAATATATAATTCAAAAATAGAAATATACATGACAAAATAAATAAACGCACAAAAAAAAATGTGTAGGAAAAATAAAAAACATTAGTCAATAAAATTTACTCGCCCTCAAATTGTTCCAAGTCTTCATTCATTCATTTTCTTTTCGGCTTAGTAACTTTATTAATTAGGGGTTGCCACTGTGGAATGAACCGCCAACTTATCCAGCAAATGTTTTACACAGCGGATGCCCTTCAACCTCAACGCAGTACTGGGAAACCCCCATACACACTCAGTCACTCACATTACAGCCAATTTAGTTTATTAATTTTACCTATAATGCATGTGTTTGGACTGTGGGGGAAACCAAATCACCCAGAGGAAACACACACCAACACGGGGAGAACATGCAAACTCCACACAGAAATGCCAACTGGCCCAGCCAGGACTGGAAGCAGCGACTTTCTTGCTGTGAGGTGACAATGCTAACCACAGAGCCATGGTGTCACCCTCCAAATCTTCATTTCTTTTTAATTTTGCATTTCCATTTGATCTTTAATTCAACTTTTACTTTCGTTGATACTAATATATACACAATACTTTTGTGACTTAGCAAAAGGTGGATGTAGAAAATGATTAAATAGTTTTGGAATCATAGTATTATGTATAATGGACACCGGCTCTTTCCTCTCTTCAGGACAGTATGCCACTCAAAGGAGGACGAGGAAGTGCTAGCATGGTGCAGAAGTGCAAACTATGTTCCCGGGAAAACTCAATAGGTAACCAGTATACAGTAGTCAACACTGCATCTTAAGACAAGAATGGGTGTTGTTCAATAGTTTAAGGACAACGTTAATGAAAGGTTTCACCTCAAGTGTTGTTTTTGATTACTTTATTTTAAGCTTATATACATATATATATATATATACAGTTGAAGTCAGAATTATTATAAAATTATTATTATCAGAATCTTTTTATTTTTTAAATATTTTCCAAATGATGTTTAACAGAGCAAGGAAATTTTCACAGTATGTCTGATAATATTTTTGTCTTCTGGAGAAAGTCTTATTTGTTTTATTTCGGCTAGAATAAAAGCAGTTTTTAATTTTTTAAACACCATTTTAGGGACAAAATTATTAGCCCCTTTAAGCTAATTTTTTCTCGATAGTCTACAGAACAAACCATCATTATACTATAACTTGCCTAATTACCCTAACTTGCCTATTTAACCCAATTAACCTAGTTAAGCCTTTAAATGTCACTTTAAGCGGTATAGAAGTGTCTTGAAAAATATCTAGTCAAATATTATTTACTGTCATCATGGCAAAGATAAAATAAATCAGTTATTAGAAATGAGTTATTAAAGCTATTATGTTTAGAAATGTGTTGAAAAAAATCTCTCCGTTAAACAGAAATTGGGAAAAAAGTAAACGGGGGGGATAATAATTCAGGAGGGCTATTAATTCTGACTTCAACTGTATGTATACACGCACAGCACAAGAACAAACATTGGCTCGTCGTCATTGGCCATGGACAATATAAAGGGAAACAAAAAAGAAAAGAGACAACAAAAACACATCATAGTTACAGCATATTCAGTCTAAACTAGAGGGGGTTATTTTACCTCAGATGGGTCACTGGATTGCTTTTGATATATCGATTTTTTTTTTCCAAATTGACCCCAAGCAGCCAAACGTTTTCTTATGGAGCTAGTCCTTAAAAATCTGAGTCTCTCCATCTGAGTAGCATATATCATGTCGCAAATCCAGTTCTGAAATGAACGGGGTAAAGGTGATCTCCTATTGTTAAGCACTAGTCTTTTAGCTATGACCATGCCTGGCTTTAAAGACTCTTGCATTGTTTGAGGGAGAGAAGATGTATTTTGTTAGAAGCCAAAAATGGCAAGTTCGGGATCTGGTAGAAAAGGTCTTTTATAAGTCTTGGAGAAGATGGAGTACATGTCGAATATGTTGGTCCAGAATTTATTCGGTAAGGGACGGAGCCAAAAGGCATGAGCAACCGTGTCCTCTGCTATGTTGCATCTATCGCACATTGGTGAGACGGAAGGAAAGATTTTATGTAGCTTGGTTTTAGTGTAGTGTAGACGATGTATGACCGTGAATTGAATCAGAGTTCGATTCCCAAAGAAAAAATAGAGGATACTGTAAACTTCAAGTTGTCGACTGGATACTAAGTAGTAAATGCACTTACCAAAATCTTATATAAATGGGTGTTTCTCAATACTGGGTTGCAGCTGGGAGGGCATGCGCTGCGTGAAACATATGCTGGAATAGTTAGCGGTACATTCTGCTGGGGCGACCCCTGATTAATAAGGCACCACGCCAAAGGAAAATGAATGAATATGCATATTTTGTTGGGTCAATATGTCTCTTTTTGGGCTTACTTGATCTTGCTGTTTCCAGATATCCTGAAGGACACAATCACACCTTACAATGTAAGACATGCCACATTCATTTTGAGTATTGTTTAGTATTTAAAGGGGTGGTTCACTACAATATGATATGTTATAGTTGATGTCTAACGTAGCTGTGTGAACATAAACAACCTCTCTGAATGTAAGACGCTCAAAGTTCATTGAAAAGGGAGACTTTTACAGGGATAGCTCAGCAAAGCCTACAGGGAACGAAGTTTGGAGACTACAAAAAATACATCCGGGTTAATGATGTCATAAACCCTTCAGGTTATGCTTATACAGCCAGGGGCGTGGCCAGAGGCGCTGAAATGTTATAGCAGAGAAAGCTAAAATGTCGTCCAAACGCTGCTATTTCCACCGAGCTTCTTCTGTTTCTGTATTTGGGCTTCCAAAGGACACGACACAAAGACAGAAGTGCTTACAATTTAATTTCAATTATGTTCCAGAGAGTTATAAAAAACATATAGCTAGCATTTGTCAAAGGAGAGCTTCCAGAATGTCTCCCAGTTCGGTGCTGGACTCGGCTAAAAACTCCTCAAAGGATGAGCAGCTCCAATCACAACCTGTAAGTGTTTTATTTGTTAAAATTGATCAATTATATGCAGAGTTTCTAGCGTTAACGGTGTGTTGTAGCAAGGATTGTAAACACGGATGTAAACAATGTACGTATTTATCAGTCAAACCGCTGTAAACTCCCACAATGTTCTGCAGCGCTGCAGTGTCTCTCTATGCTGATGCTTTCCCTGCATTCTACATCTCAAATAACAAACTCGTTAAAGATATGTAAACGTTTCATATCACTCACACATGCTTATAACCCGAAAATATATGAAAGACACTTGTAAGATCTTATTTTAGAGAGCAGGCATAAGGTTCAGCTGTTTCCTCTTCATTTTCTGTCTAATTTAGACTGACACGGCTACACTGACTGTATTTACACAGCAGGGCATGCTGATGACTGGTCATGACACTTCCTGGTGATGTGGAGCCAATCCGCGAATCACAGCACATTATGTTAGCTGACCAATCAGAGCATCTTGAGGACAGGCTTTGGGAGGAACTACGAAAAATGACAGTCGTTTTCATGTTAGCTGAGTAGATGTATATAATCAAAGTAGGATATATGAAAAAATAATGTGATTTTTCAACAAATTAATTATAAGCACACATTGCTTTGCATTTTTTTTAACACAACCAAACCTTACAAATACACTCTGGACCACCCCTTTAACAAAACACACAATGTACCAAGTGAAGAATGCAATTGTGTATGAATATTTACAGTTGTGTACTCTATTCTTCACTCAGTCACACTAGTATGTATATTTCCCTGTAGGCAGAAGACAGTGAAAGGTTTAAGACAGTGGTGCAGTTTGAGTGTCGAGGCCTGGAACCAGTCGATTTTCAACCTCAGGTGAGATTGATCCAAATGAAATGATGTAATTATTGGAGCTAAAAATAATATTTGAGGTCATGAACATGATGGGCGTGGCAGTAGTGCAGTAGGTAGTGCTGTCACCTCACAGCAAGAAGGTCGCTGGTTCGAACCTCGCCTCAGTAGGCGTTTCTGTGTGGAGCCTTCGCGTGGGTTTCCTCCGGCTGCTCCGGTTTCCCCCACAGTCCAAAGACATGCGGTACAGGTGAATTGGGTAGGCTTAATTGTCCGTAGTGTATGAGTGTGTGTGTGAATGGGTGTGTGTATGTTTCCCAGAGATGGGTTGCGGCTGGAAGGGCATCCGCTGCGTAAAAACTTGCTGGATAAGTTGGCGGTTACTTCCGCTGTGGCGACCCCGGATTAATAAAGGGACTAAGCCGACAAGAAAATGAATGAATGAATGAATGAACATGACGAATGATTACAAACAAAATTTCACTAGTCAGCACATCTCTATTCTCTCACAGACATCGCTAGTCTCTCACTGTGCTGTGGTCTTGATCATTTCGTCTTTAGTCTCTTCCACAGTTCATTGACCAGGGGGCTGTTTCATAAAAAAGTGGGGATTAAAGTCAAAAAGGGTCAAGCATAGATGCATTGATTATGTTGTTTGCTATTATGGCAACTACGATGAAAGAACGAGCTCTGCAATGAGCCGCATTTGTTTTAAGAGTTCAAAAATATAATGATTTTAAACATAATAATTAAAAACTATGGCTTGCAACAAAGCAAGAGAGGAGGCAACATGTATTTGAGAATGCAAAGTTTACACAAACATTCCTGATTCATCAAGTCTCTCTCATGTGACTATTGAACAACCAGTAGCCTGCAAGTGTGAATGCTGGTTAAATCTGGCATGCCCAGGTGGTGTGTTTGTGTTTTAGGCTGTGTAGTGTGGACACAGATCATTTTTCATGCATTCATTCATTTTCCTTCGGCTTAGTCTCTATTTCAGAGGTCACTACAGCGGAATGAACTGCAAACTATTCCAGCATATGCAGAGGATGCCCTTTCAGCTGCAACCCAGTTCTGGGAAACATTAATACAGACTCATTTACACACACACACATGCTCAGACACTACGGTCAGTTTAGTTTACCCAATTCACCTAAAGCGCATAGACTGTGGGGGAAGCCGGAGGAAACCCACGCCAACATGGGGAGAACATGCAAACTTCACAGAGAAATGCCGGGATTCAAACCAGCGACCTTCTTCCCGTGAGGCAACAGTGCTAACCACTGAGCCACCGGGCTGCCTGAAACGCATTAATAATGTCAATCTTTACAGGGTGTTTAATTCTGAACTGACATTTTAAAACAAAAATGCACTAGTGTAAATGCAGCATCAGGTAAAGCAGTTGAAAGGTAAAGCTGAAAGCATAAAAATAATGAAATGGCAGCTCAGAGTCCTGAACTAAACCTGATTGAAAATCTCTGTATTATTCTTAAGACTATATATATATATATATACACACACACACACACACACACACACACAGGGCTTTACATTAACGCCCGCCAACCCGCCAAATGGAGGTAGATTGCAGCTATGGCGGGTTGGACAGCCACTCCCACTAGCCACTTTGGCAGGTTGGAAATAATTTTTACATTGTAGTTTTCTTAAAGTAGTATTCGACAATAAGGATGGCCCAATATACATGCAATTGTGATCTCAGAATCGAGAAACAGCACGACTGAAAACAATAACTGTGTTCGCGCGAGACAAAGCAGGTGAATACCGTATGAGAGGATTATTACTCGCACACACAGGTGATGTGATGCGCACGACTGTTAAAAGTGCGCGTGCGCTCCCGTTTACTTGCGCTTTTTTCCGTTCACTTGCGATCGGTTCTATTTGAAAAAGGCTAGACAAAAAAACGATACTCGTGTACCCACAGTCCTGCTGCTTTTAAGAGCTCAAGATTGAAAAATATATGTGTTTGTAAGCAACAGCAGCAGTCACTGCTTTCGTTTTAATTATGCTCAGGCACGTGATCATCCTTTCATTATCACTCGTGGTATGTTTTTACCTGCTTTCCTTTGCTTACAGTTATTTTTGTTAATATAGTTTAATTATCATCCTTTACAATAACATTTCTTTAATATGAGATTAACCAACCATTTGTGTGTAGTAACTGCTGATCTGGGACAACACAACATAAAAATCAAGCCATTTTAGCATGTCAAAGTCACATTTATTTATATAAGATATATTTTACAAACAACAAAATTGTGGCTAGTGAAAACGGCAAGTGGCTAGTAATGTTGGAAATCTACTAGCCACAGTGGCTGGTGATCAAAAAAGTCAATGTAAAGCCCTGTATATATATATATATATATATATATATATATATATATATATATATATATATATATATATATATATATATATATATATATATATGAAATAAAGTTAAATGCAGCATAAGTCCTACCATCTCCCCCAAACCTAAATGTCTTTCCTGCTCCACAGGCTGGTTTTGCTGCTAGCGGAGCAGAAACGTCCACCCAGTTCCCTGAAATCAACCTGCAAGAGAAAGTAAGCATTCTCTCAGTCATATCATACCTTCAGTAAGTTTAGCAGGGTGTAACACCCTTGTGTTTATGTTACAGGACTGGACGGACTATGATGAGAAGGCCAGCGAGTCTGTGGGTATCTATGAGGTCACACATCAGTTCGTCAAATGCTAAAAAAGAGTCAGACTGAAGAACAACCGGATGAAGATCTGTTTGAAGTTCACTACACCCCACTTCAGTTTGTACACTTATTTTGTGAGATGGAGATGAATATTTGGTGATTCTCTTGGTTTAACAATAAATAAAGACTGGGATGACCGCTATGGCAAGAAGAGTATTTCGCATTTGAGAGTATTTGCATTTCTTGATATAAAGAGTAGGGATTGAAGCAGGATAAACAATATTAATATTGAAATTATTCAGGAAATGCCAATTATACAGAATGGTAAAGGAATATGATTTCAGGCTGATATGGTAAGACAAATACTAAAGCTTATTTCATCAAGTTATCAGTGTAAATGGAATATATTAGTTCTTAGCTTATCCAAACACAACAGCATTAGATTGAAGAGCATCACCGCAGGTGATTCAATAATGAATGAATTGTAAAGGTGGGGGATTACAATGCTCACATTGTAATCGTGCCAGTGCCGCTCCGAGCTGGGATTGAACCGGAGACTCTCTGCATGGGAGTTGGTTGCTCTAACAAAAAGGCTAAAGATCATGACTTAAAGTGTCAGTCGTTTGGCTGGGCTCCCAGTCTGGCTAAGCTGGTCAAGCTGGTTTTAACTGGCCATCTCCCGGCCTGTCCAGCTAAAACCAGCCAACCATCCTAGGCTGGTTTAAGCTGGATTTTTTTTAGCAGGGAATGAAGAATTTTGCAAAGCATAAAAGCTTATTAACCAGGTAACTCTGTGTACAATCGTCTGTAGTTACACCAAAATTCACTTGTTTATAACCAAAAGGGATTTCAACATGGATATCAACATCATGAGCCCAAAACAAGTGGATGCAATTGAAGAATATAAGCCGAGTATTCAACATCACTTCCACAAAATTGACAAAGGATATCCTCAATATCACATTTTAAACATAGTAAGTGAAATGCTAAAACAACGTGCTTTTGTTTAACCTTTTCTCAGCAAATCTCCCTTTGACATCAATAGTATGAAGCTGCAGGCCCGGAGACCCAACTGCACGCTCCGACCTGCGCGCACAGACCTGCACTTCCAGACCAGACAGTGCCCCCTGCTGTTGGGTTGGGTGAAGCGGCAGGTACGGAGAACTGCACACTCAGACCAGCACTTTCTAGCAAGTAGCAACATCAGAAACGCTAGTAAGGTTATTGATTATTAAAGCGATTCCTGAAAATTATCAAGTTTTATGGCATAAATCAATGTGGTGTAAAATATTACACTAACAAAGAATTATTTCAGTGTTTGATTTGATCAAAATTTGTGTCAAAAGAGCCTTATTTTATGATATTTACAGCTTGCTCTTATTTTATCTATTATTGTACCATTCTGGGACAATTTTCTAGCAATGTTTTCTGGCAAAAAAAAAAACAAAAACTTTAAAGTTAAAATAAAATGCAGCCTATAATATATAGCGCAATTATTATTTGTAACATATTTTAGTGCTGTATAGGTCTACTGTACGTTTTTCTGCATTATCTATCTAAGAGTGCTACCTAAGACAATAACAGTAACACAATAACAGTTTATCAATTATTTACAAGTTATTTAATGATTACAAACATGTTTTTTGGAAATCAAAATATCAATTAAATTTGCATAGAATTTACAATATGAGCTCTATTAGGTGAATTAAAAACAATTTTTTTTATTAAAAGTGGGTCTCTGCCAACACTAATACAGTGTACCAAAGACTGCAGATATTTCCAGTTTTTTGCTCTACAAATGAAAAATCTCCCCAATAAGAATGTAAAGTATTTATTTTATTTGATGTTAGTTTCTACGTAAAAAAATAATTATTACTCCAATTATTATTTTTCACCATTTTACCATGTATTGTTTGCAACTTGACTTGTAGGACCTTATGAAAAAGTACACAAAAATAAAGTTGGTTGTGAGAAAATTACCTAGAGTACTATAATTGTATGTGAAGAAATTTATTGTATATGAAGATAATATTCATTCCCTCAACTCAATACGAAACAGTGATAAATCCTTAATGATAAAAAAACAACAACAACAAATGTTTGAAAATATTGAAGCAACTGAACAATATAGATTTACAAATACAATTAATAAAAATACAATAGAATTATTGTATTAAATCAAAAATCTAGTACGTTTAATATTTCATATAATAATCTATTCAATCACAGCCTAATATTTTATAGTAGAAAAATAGTTTAAATTACAATTTAGAAGCAGCTGAAATCAGGTTAGTCGATCTTTTAAACAGCAGGTGGCACTGTGTAGGTCTGGAAGTGTAGGTCTAGCCGTCTGAGCGAGCAGGTCTGAGCGTGCGGTTGGGTTGCCAATAGTATGAAGCTGCAGGCCCGGAGACCCAACCGCACGCTCCCCTTACTCTTTGACATGTCGCTGTTTGAGGAAAGAGCGCCATCTGTGTGTCACTGGCGGCGCTTCATCGAGTGTTTGGTTGGAGTGTTTATATATTGAGCTGCTGTGTTAACGTTCCTTCCTTTACTGTGGTGAAGTCCAACTGGTCTGACACATTGCAAACCTGAAGATGGCTGCTTTAAGAAACAGGGTTTTTGTTATCGGAGTGGGAATGACGAAGGTAAGCATCGATTGTTTTGTATGCGATCTGTCATTGTGTACCTTTAGTTTGCTCCTGGTAACTATTACATGACATTGCACTGACAACTGCTCAGCTCAAACTGCTTCTAAATTACTGGAAAACATGCAGGAGTTAAAAGTTTAAAGCTGTGTTATATAAGCTAACGTTATATAAACGTAAAGGAAATATTAAATAAGCGGAGTTAGCATTTATGTTTTGTTATGAAGCTGTAACTAGCATAATTGCTACATGCATATATGTAATGTTATGGATGTACAGTGTTCTGTGTTTTAGTACGTGTTTAATCTCCATAAAAATGAGTTATGCAATGTTTTAAAGTGTCTTATCAGAGATTCACTGTACGCCTGATCTGTGTTGAGCAACTGTAAGTTAACTGCACAGTGCCAAAGTCCCTCAGACTCCGCAGAAAAGCAAAGATATAACTTTAATCTGCAAATATGACCCTGGATTTAACGTGTCAAAGGTTACTGTACACTATGACAGTGAACTAGGGTTGAGAACAGCCTTGAAAGCAAAGCACAGCTTGTAACCAACACTGAAAGAATAGATGTGATTAGTATTATTATTGTGACCCCTACTGACGCGGAAGGAACATTGCGCCATGTTGGACTTGAATGTTCTCAGTGTGTAAATTCGACGGTACTTTGTTTAAGCACTGTTTAATTAAATAGTGTCTTAATATTTCTTCCATACCTTTGTGAATAATATACTGTATGGGTTGTTTGCAATCTAATGACGCGCAAAATTCAGAAGGAGGGCGGGAAGACACTGAATGGGAGACTTAACGTTAGATGAATACTAAAGAGAGCTCTGTTCACATACATTGGAGTAGATTGATGAATAAGGTCTTATTTTACAGAACACCCTCCCAATTTTAAAGTGTAAATAGGATATTTCATATTTTTGTGTTGCGTTTGGTTCATGTTGTTCTGACGGTTTCTTTGTATTCCACTTGGTGTCAGTAAAGTATTTTTTAAATCTTGTTTTGAACAAAATAAAAAGTTATGTCTTATAAAAGTGAAATGTATATCCTTTTAAATATTTCCCAAGTGCTGTTTAGACCAATGGCATTTTCACAGTATTTGCTAATATATTGTTCCTTATGACTGGTGAAAAAGTCTGATTTCTTTTAGTTTGGCTGGAATAAAAAAGTTTTTTGACCCATTGGCCTGGGCCAACATTATTAGCTCCTTAAGTTTTTTTTTAATATTACTTTTCCAGATTGGTTAAAGAACAAATCACTGTTGTCCAATGATTCCTAATTAACCTAGTTAAAAATCTAAATTGCACTTTAAGCTTACCCTTCTGAAAAATCCAGCTTAAACCAGCCTTGGCTGGTTTTAGCTGGTCGACCAGGCTGGTTTTAGAGGGGTTTTGGCCATTTCCAGGCTGGTTTCTAGCTATTTCCAGCCTGGTCTTAGCTGGTCAGGCTGGAAAATGACCTGGTAAATCCAGCTAAAGCCAGCTTGACCAGCCTGATTTAAGCTGGAAATAGCTGGTTTTGGCTGGGCTCCCAGCCTGGCTAGGCTGGTCAAGCTGGTTTTAGCTGGTCATCTCTCAGCCTGACCAGCTAAGACCAGGCTGGAAATGGCTGGAAACCAGCCTGGCAATGGCCAAAACCCCTCTAAAACCAGCCTGGTCGACCAGCCAACCAGCCTAGGCTGGTTTAAGCTGGATTTTTCAGTAGGGTAATACTAGTATCTTACAAAACAAGTAAAAATACACATGATGCTGTCATAAAAAATAAATAAAGAGTTGTTGGATAATAATTGTTAAAACTGTTATGTTGTAAATAAAAAAGTCTTCTCTTCGTTAAACCCTCTGGAAATATTTTGAAAAGAATTTAAATTTTCACAGGAGGACTAGGACAAATAAAAACACAACTTGGGTGTTTAGAAATAGTATATTTTATTTAGTTTGACCTGCAAAATCATGTGATTAAAAAATAGTTATAGCTAGAAATGTTATGGAAAAATCAAAAAATGTGTAAAAAAAAATTAGGTGCTGCTGTATATAGGCTGTGTTGAAACTTGCAATATTATGAGGTTTAGTTTTATACGTAAAATATTTATTTGTCTATTGAAATCTAAAGAGTCATATTGTACTGTACTTTTTCTGTCCTTTTTTTAGTTTGAAAAGCCTGGTGCAAGAGACATTGATTATCCAGACATGGCCAAAGAAGCAGGTAAAGAAGAGTCAAATATCTAACATAAAGAATATTATTTATTGATTTAGTTTGCTTCCTGAACCATTTCTGCTGTTTTACAGGGCAGAGAGCGCTGGCCGATGCTGGAATCAAGTACAGTGCCATTCAGCAAGCATGTGTGGGCTATGTATATGGTATGTCAGACTTATCATCAATACTGGATGTGGCATATTTAATTACATGGGCTATTATGTCTCACACATTGGCATTATAATTATGTTGTCTGACATCAGTGTTGAATTGAGTATTGTCTGTGTTTCTCCAGGTGACTCCACGTGTGGCCAAAGGGCTATCTATCACAGTCTGGGTCTGTCAGGAATTCCCATAATTAATGTCAACAATAACTGCTCTACTGGTTCCACTGCACTGTTTATGGGTCGTCAGCTCATTCAGGGAGGTAAGATGTTTGCTGCCACAGCTAAAGACAGAATAATCCCCCTGCTACACTACTAGATCAGTAAAATTGCAATTTTTTTGTTAGAGGTGAAAAATTGTTGTTAAAACTAACCTAGATCATCATCTGCTGTTTAAAACTAGCCTAGCATGCATCTGCTGTTCAAAACTAGCCCAGCATGCATCTGCTGTTAAAAACTAGCCTAGTGTGTGCCTTTTGCAGTTATAAATTAGCCTAGTGTGCGCCGTCTGCTGTTATAAACTAGCCTAGAGCGCCGTTTGCTGTTATAAACTAGCCTAGAGCGCATTCTGCGGTTATAAATTAGCCTGGTGTGCTCTGGCTGCTGTTATAAACTAGCCTAGAGCGCCGTTTGCTGTTATAAACTAGCCTAGAGAGCATTCTGCGGTTATAAATTGGCCTAGTGTGCACTGTCTGCTGTTATAAAGTAATCTAGAGTGCAGTCTGCGGTTATAAACTAGCCTAGAATACCTTCTGCAGTTATAAACTAGCCTAGTATACGCCATCTGCGGTTATAAACTAGCCTAGAGTGCCGTCTACAGCTAGTTATAAACTAGCCTAGAGTACCGTCTGGTGTTATAAACTAGCCTAGAGCGCCGTCTGTTGTTATAAACTAGCCTAGAGTGCCGTCTGCTGTTATAAACTAACCTAGAGCGCCGTCTGCAGTTATAAACTAGCCTAGAGTGCGCCGTCTGCTGTTGTAAACTAGCCAAGAGCATCGTCTGCTGTTATAAACTAGCCTAGAGCGCCATCTGCAGTTATAAACTAGCCTAATGTGCACCATCCGCTGTTTTAAACTAGCCAAGAGCGTCGTCTGCAGTTATAAACTAGCCTAGAGTGCACCGTCTGCTGTTATAAACTAGCCTAGAGTGCACCGTCTGCTGTTATAAACTAGCCTAGAGTGCACCGTCTGCTGTTATAAACTAGCCAAGAGCGTCGTCTGCAGTTATAAACTAGCCTAGAGTGCACCGTCTGCTGTTATAAACTAGCCTAGAGTGCAGTCTGCTGTTGTAGACTAGCCAAGAGCATCGTCTGCAGTTATAAACTAGCCTACAGTATATAAACTAGCCTAGAGCACCGTCTGCTGTTATAAACTAGCCTAGAGCGCCGTCTGCTGTTATAAACTAGCCTAGAGCGCTGTCTGCTGTTATAAACTAGCCTAGAGCGCCGTCTGCTGTTATGAACTAGCCTAGAGCGCTATCTGCTGTTATAAACTAGCCTAGAGCGCCGTCTGCTGTTATAAACTAGCCTAGTGTGCACCATCCGCTGTTATAAACTAGCCAAGAGCGTCGTCTGCAGTTATAAACTAGCCTAGAGTGCACCGTGTGCTGTTATAAACTAGCCTAGAGTGCACCGTCTGCTGTTATAAACTAGCCAAGAGCGTCGTCTGCAGTTATAAACTAGCTTACAGTATATAAACTAGCCTAGAGCGCCGTCTGCTGTTATAAACTAGCCTAGAGCGCCGTCTGCTGTTATAAACTAGCCTAGAGCGCCGTCTGCTGTTATAAACTAGCCTAGAGCGCTGTCTGCTGTTATAAACTAGCCTAGAGCGCCGTCTGCAGTTATAAACTAGCCTAGAGTGCACCGTCTGCTGTTGTAAACTAGCCTAGAGTGCACCGTCTGCTGTTGTAAACTAGCCTAGAGCACCATCTGCTGTTATAAACTAGCCAAGAGCGTCGTCTGCAGTTATAAACTAGCCTAGAGTGCACTGTGTGCTGTTATAAACTAGCCTAGAGTGCACCGTCTGCTGTTATAAACTAGCCTAGAGTGCACCGTCTGCTGTTGTAAACTAGCATAGAGTGCCGTCTGGAGTTATAAACTCGCCTAGAGCACCATCTGGTGTTAAAAACTAGCCTGGTGTGCCATCTCCTGTAAAAAAAACTAGCTCGGAGAGCCGTCTGCTGTTAAAATTTAGCCTACAGTGCTGTTTGCTGTTATAAACTAGCCTAGAGTGCCGTCTATTTTTTTTGTTTTTTTCTTTTAAACTCTACTTTAAAAAAAAAAAGATTTTAATTATGCAATTTTGTAATAGATAAAAATAAATACATAGATGATATATAGATAAAAAAAAACTTGTGTTTTCTTCACACACAACACAATTTCAATCAAAATATATATATAAATAAACAACATTTAAGTATGGTTAACATCTTTTAAAAAGATCAAAATATAGTGAGGTTGTGTTTTTTTTTAATTTCCATATATTAAAAATACACTTTATTTCTATAACGTAAAGCATTTTTATGATCAATATCTTCTTTTGTGTTCAACAGAATAAGGAAATTCTTTATAAAATGTTCATTTTTAGTGAACTATCCCTTTAATAGGAAAATTCAGAAGTACAGCATTTACCTGAAATAAGAATATTTTGTAAAATTTTAAATGTGCCTTTTCTAAAATGTTAAATAAAATCACATTACCCTGTAACTCATTATACCCCATAACAACATTAAATCTTGCGTTCAGGTTTGGCTGACTGTGTCCTTGCCTTGGGCTTTGAGAAAATGGAAAGAGGCTCACTGTCCTCAAAGGTACACGTTCAGCTTAAAAAGCTTACCACTTTTATGAAAGCCGTGTTGAAGCCTCATGTTATCTCATGGGTTTGCAGTACATGGACAGAACCAACCCTATGGACAAGCACATGGAGGTAATGATCAACCGTTATGGGTTGGCGGCGGTACCGGCTGCACCTCAGATGTTTGGCAACGCTGGCAGAGAACACATGGAGAAGTACGGTAAGTGCTGAGTAGCTGATTTGAGTTTAGATTGATCCCAGCAGGCAGCTTTTAAGATTCTCTTTTATTAACAAAAGCACTTTGTTGTATCTAGGTACAAAACCAGAGCATTTTGCCAAAGTTGCTTGGAAGAACCACAAGCATTCCACCAATAACCCGTAAGTTTTGCTGAGAGTTTGCCCTAAATGAAAAAATGCATTCAACTGCTCTCTGCAAAAGAAATCATTTCTATATCACATACTCTATAACAGATGACTTGTTCAGTGTGTGAATCTCTTTCTTCTGGTCCACTTTGACCCTCAGATACTCTCAGTTCCAGGATGAATATAGTCTGGAGCAGGTCATTGACTCCAGGAAGGTCTTTGAGTTCCTCACGCTCTTGCAGTGCTGGTAAGTTGACAAGCTAATTAGCTAGGTTATGAATATTCTCAGAAGTTCCCAATTTACAGGGGATCTATTATGACACAAACCATTGTTTCGAGTTGTAAAAGTTATTCATTCTTTAATTAAACGAAAAGCTGACAGAAATGAAAACAACTGAGTGAAGCTGTTGGAGTATACACTAACCTGCTCATTATTCAGTTACAAGATGGCACCAAACAATCAAAAACACAATGCTGACAGAAACGAAACTGGCTTCATGGAGCTTAGACTAACCTATGTATTTTTCATTCACAAGATGGCGCCAAACAGTCAAAAACACAATGCTGACAGAAACGAAACTGGCTTCATGGAGCTTAGACTAACCTATGTATTGTTCATTCACAAGATGGCGCCAAACAGTCAAAAACACAATGCTGACAGAAACGAAACTGGCTTCATGGAGCTTAGACTAACCTATGTATTATTCATTCACAAGATGGCGCCAAACAGTCAAAAACACAATGCTGACAGAAACGAAACTGGCTTCATGGAGCTTAGACTAACCTTTGTATTGTTCATTCACAAGATGGCGCCAAACAGTCAAAAACACAATGGTCTTTGAGTTTCTCACACTCTTGCAGTGCTGGTAAGTCGACAAGCTAATTAGCTAGGTTATGAATATTCTCAGAAGTTCCCAATTTAAAGGGGATCCATTATGCCACTACTTACAAGATATAATATAAGTCTCTTATGTCCCTTGAGTGTGTATTTTCAGCTCAAAATACTTCACAAATAATGTTTTACTTTTTGAGGCTCCCCATTTTAGACTAGATCCAAATCATGTCATTTTGGTGACTGTCGCTTTAAATTCATATGAGATTGTGCTCCCAGCCCTCTTTTCAAAAGAAGGCGGAGCTACACAGCAGATTCAAAACTCTAATGGGACAGGTGTCAAACTGTAAACTCTAACTGTAAACCATTTTCCTTTCCAGAAAAAAAAACAATGTTTTGTCATGTTGTTTTCTGTAGCCCGACGTCAGACGGAGCAGGCGCTGCAGTGCTGGCCAGTGAGTCGTTTGTAAGAAGGAACGGACTAGAAAAAAAGGCGGTAGAGATCGTAGCACAAGAAATGGTCACAGACCTCTCCACCACCTTTGAGGAAAACAGCTGTATGAAAATGGTGATCTTACTGAGCAGCACACAACCACCAAAATAAAAGCTTCAGTAACACATTCACCTAGTACAAATAAACATTCACTTTTTGGTCACACTTTATTTTAAGGTACAATTCTTGGTATTAGCAAACCATTAACTGTGATTTTCGCCTCGTTAAACTACTCATTTGCCACTTATTTATAGTTCTTAAGGCGGACGTTAGGTTTAGGTATTAGAAAGGATTAAGGATATAGAATAAGATCATGCAGAATATGCACTTTATAGGTTAGCGGAGAGCTGTTGTATAAGACTGAAGGGCTTTCTCTGCCAAAACAACCATCTTGGATGTAGTGTTGTTAAAAGTATCGAATTCGGTACTTTTCGATACTGAAATTTTAAATACATCCATTTCCCGCTAACATCTGAGTACTGTTGAGCGTGTTATTAATCACCTCAGAGATGTCCGCCTTTAGCGAGTGAAGAATCTCTGATTTCAAGTTCATTTTCTTTGGGCTGTCCGACGAGGATGAGGTCACCTGCCATCAGGTGATGTTGGAGCTTGAAGATGATGCGGTGTTGAGCCTAAAACCAGATCATGCACCGTTCTAATTTTAAAAAAGCATACGAAGCAGAGATCAGACAATGTTTTATCATATGGAGATGATTTTATATCATATAGACCATTTTGAGGGATGTAAACAAAAACAATGGTCTCAATGTGTTGCCTGTTTTACATTTTTAATTTCTATAGCTTCCGAAAATCCAAAAAGTGCCACATATTGATAAATAATGTTATGATAGCTGTTTTAACATTAAGTTATGATTGAATTTGCTCTTGTCACAGTTATGAAGTAGTTTGATAACAAGCAGGAAATGTTCATGGGCCAATGACGTCACCACATTGAAATGGTCTGTAGCAGGAGATCAGCGGGAGCTTGAGCCAGCAACTGGAACCACCGTGCATTTTATTAAACACCACTAATTGGCCTTTGTGTTCACATGCTCAACAGAAATGACTCTGGCTGTGAAGGTCATCAGTTTACCACTCTACACCAAGTGCAAACACAGATACATAGACTCTAAGGTCTTTTAAAGCCGCGTAGATCAGTTGATTTATCAGCTAATCACTCGTATGTCAGCTTATAGACAGATCAGCTGATCTACGTGACTTCAAAATACTCCAGTGTCCCAGTATCTGTGCTTAATAGTGGTGAACTAAAAGTGGTGAACTGATGACCTTCACCGCTAGTCACATTCATTTCTGTTGATCACATGAACACAATGGCAAATTTAAGAACGTGCTCAACAGCACTCACATTTTAGCGGGAATGAACGTTTTAAAATTCCCGTAGCAGTTGCTTGCCATAAAAAGTAGACACAAACCATTGTTTCCAGTTGTAAAAGTTATTCATTCTTTAATTAAACAACAAAGCTGACAGAAATGAAAACAACTGAGTGAAGCTGTTGGGGTATACAATAACCTGCTCATTATTCAATTATAAGATGGCACCAAACAATCAAAAACACAGTGCTGACATAAACGAAACTGGCTTCATGGAGCATAGACTAACCTACGTATTATTAATTCACAAGATGGCGCCAAATAGTCAAAAACACAATGCTGACAGTAACGAAACTGGCTTAATGGAGCATAGACTAACCTACCTACTATTCATTCACAAGATGGCGCCAAATAGTCAAAAACACAGTGCTGACAGTAACGAAACTGGCTTAATGGAGCATAGACTAACCTACGTATTATTCATTTACAAGAGGGCACCAAAGAGTCAACAACACAAAGCTGACAGAAATGTAACTAGCTTAATGGAGCATAGACTAACCTATGTATTATTCATTCACAAGATGGCGCCAAACAGTCAACAACACAACGCTGACACAAACGAAACTGGCTTAATGGAGCATAGACTAACCTATGTATTATTGATTCACAAGATGGCACCAAAGAGTCAACAACACAATGCTGACAGAAATGAAACTGGCTTAATGGAGCATAGACTAACCTACGTATTATTGATTCACAAGATGGCGCCAAACAGTCAAAAACACAATGCTGACAGAAATGAAACTGGCTTAATGGAGCATAGACTAACCTACATATTATTAATTTACAAGATGGCACCAAAGAGTCAACAACACAATGCTAACAGAAACGAAATTTACTTAATGGAGCATAGACTAATCTACGTATTATTCATTTACAAGATGGCACCAAAGAGTCAACAACACAGTGGTGACAGAAACAAAATTTACTTAATGGAGCATAGACTAACCTACGTATTATTCATTCACAAGATTGCACCAAAAAGTCAACAACACAATGCTGACAGAAACAAAACTGGCTTCATGGAGCATAGACTAACCTACGTATTATTCATTCACAAGATGGCGCCAAACAGTCAACAACACAATGCTGACAGAAACTAAACTGGCTTAATGGAGCATAGACTAACCTACGTATTATTCATTCACAAGATAGTGCCAAACTCAAAAACAGTGCTGACAGAAACGAAACTGGCTTCATGGAGCATAGACTAACCTACGTATTATTAATTCACAAGATGGCGCCAAACAGTCAAAAGCTGTGGCATGACAGACAAGCAGATGCATATTGAATGTGAATGTAAATATGCATTTGTGAACGTATTTACTGTTGCTAAAGGTGATTCAAAGTTCCTGGATGAGCCTGTGTTATTTATCGGTTGTTATTTGGGAATAACATACCTTGTAATACTGCGACTGACCAATCAGAATTGAGGATCCCAGACAGCCATATAATAGGTACTGATAAACAGCCAATATCTCAATAATAGCCAGGTAATAATCCACTATTTATTAGTGAGAATTGCTCCCTGTAGTTAATTGTTACCCCCTCTTTTTGTCCACCATTTCAGGTTGGTTATGACATGACCCGTCTCGCAGCTGAGAGGTGTTATGACACCGCTGGCGTGAAGCCGTCAGATGTGGACGTGATCGAGCTGCACGACTGCTTCTCTGCCAATGAGCTGATCACCTATGAAGCGCTGGGGCTCTGTCCTGAGGGTGAGAGGAACTGCTCTCTGTCTCTGTCCTTAATCAGGGTGTTCGCGCGGTCTTAAAAAGCCTTACATTTCAAAAACAAAATTTTAGGCCTTAAAAACACTTAAAATGACTGAATTATTGTGTTGTAGGTCTTAAATCATTTTAAACTAGTCTTAATATTTCTCTGTTTATTTAAACCTACCCAATCGGGCCAACATTCATCCAATCACCTATTTACCAATAGGGTTTAATTATCTTCCTTACAATAACATTTGTTTAAAGTTCTCCATGTATCTTATAAAAAACCTGAAAAATCACATGTACAGAAGTATTCACAGCCTTTGCTCAACTTTGTTGATGCACCTTTGGCAGAAATTACAGCCTTAAGTCTTTTTAAATGATGACACACCTGTCTTTAGGAATTTTTGCCCATTCCTCTTTGCAGTACTACTCAGGCCCTATCAGGTTGTATGGGAAGTGACGGTGTACAGCCATTTTCAGATCTCTCCACAGATGTTCAATAGGATTTAGCTCTGGGCTCTGACTGGGCCACTTAACGACATTCACTGAACTGTTGTAAAGCAACTCTACTGATATTTTGGCAGTGTGCTTTGGGTCTTTGTCCTGCTGGAAGATGAAACATCACCCCAGTCTGGGCTCAAGAGCACTCTGAAGCAGGTTTTCATTCAGGATGTCTCTGTACATTGCTGGATTCATCTTTCCCTCTATCCTGACTAGCCTTCCAGTTCCTGCTGCTGAAAAACATCCCCAAAGCATGATGGTGCCACCACCATGCTTCACTGTAGCGATGGTATTAGCCTGGTGATGAGCTTGTGCCTTGACAATCCTGTCTTGGAGGTCTAAAGGCAATTCCTTTGTCTTCATGCTTGGTTTGTGCTTTGACATGCACTGTCAACCGTGGCACCTTATATAGACAGGTGTATGCCTTATCAAATCATGTTCAATCAACTGAATTGACCATAGGTGAACTCCAATGAAGCTGCAGAAACATCTCAAGAATGATCAGTGGAAACAGAATGTAGCTGAGCTCAATTTAGATCTTCTCTGCATGTACATGGGATTTTTCAGGTTTGTTATTTTTAATAAATTTGCAACAATTTCAAAAACTCTTTTTTACATTGTCAGTATGCCGTATAGTGTGTAGAATGTTGAGGAAATAAATGAATTTAATCCATTTTAAATGAATGTTGTAACATTTAAAAATGTGAAGAAAGTGAAGCACTATGAATACCGGATGCACTGTGTAATACACTGAAACTTTGTGCCCTCTGGCATATGCTCTAAGAATTAATGATAAATTGCAGTCTCATTTGGAGCTCGACTACCCGTCTTAAAAGTACTATTTAATAGATGTCCAATCTGTAAATAATCTGATTTTCGTTGAGGCCAAAATGTTGGGTTAACTGGTTAAATCTTTTTAAATTGTCATTTTCAAAAAGATCCCCTGACTTAAAAATACCATTCTCTGTCCATTCCTTCCAAAGAAAATTAGATTTTCCAATACACAGTTTGGGATTCAGCCAAATACCTGAGATTGTGCTCAGAAATGGCTTCAACTATAATGTTTTTGCTATTCTTTTCCATACTGATTGAAGATGTGATATTACAGGATAAGACAAAGGAAGATATTCAGAAGAATGTTGAAAACATGTAGTCTTTAGCTGCGTCCCAAATCGCATACTTATGCACTATTCCAGAGGTTCTCAAAGTGGGGGTCGGGACCCCCCAGGGGTCGCGGGACAATGAAGGGGGGTCGCCTGGTGATTTTTTCAAAAATCAATACATTTTTATTAAACCATAAGACTTACTGTATTTTATCAATAACCTACTGAAGAGAAAAAATAGTCGTTTATAGTTACTATAAACTATATAGTTACTATAGCAGCTTATTAGTTCTTATAGTTATATTAGCTTACTAGTTCTATTGGATTGCGACTTCTCGGGTAATTACATTATACTAAAGACACAGCAATACTGTCAGATGCAGCAGATTTTGTCACACCAGGTTAAACTTTCTAGCCCATTTACAGCACTGACATATATAAAAAAAACAAAGAATAGACTTGGGTCTATTGGTGTGTGTGCGTCATTGCATACAAGGTTTCTGTATTTATAACCACCACCTCAGAGAATATTGGGGGTCACGAGTCACTGGCATTCTCATTTTGGGGGTCGCGGGCTGAAAAGTTTGGGAACCCCTGCACTATTCTACGCCATTTTGTAGTATAAATAGTGTAAGTAGTGTGTTCACACTGAAAACTCTAAAAAATAATAAGTGCACTTTGTTTACCCGGATGATGCACTCATTCAGCCGGTAAAATGAAGTGTGTAATGATGGACACTACACGCACTCAACGACCGCTGGTTTGCTTACGTAGCAAAAGGGGCGGAGCTATCGGAAGACATGTTGGATAACTTTATTTATTTTGGATAGTGAAAGCAAAATTCTCCTACGAGAGTGATTATAGCGCCTCCAGATGGTGAATGCGGTTATACTCACGGCAGGTATTATTTGATAATTCGGCTGTTTATTTCACTGATTTGGCCACCCTCAAATGTCATCAGGGAAACGCTTTGAATTTCCACATAGTAAAAAAAAACATTAGTGTTCCATTTGGGACGACACTACATACATATACTACCCTGTTGAGTGTGTAAGTGCATAAGTACATAGTGCATGAGTGCATAGTGTATAGTGTGCCATTTGGGACGCAGCTATTGACATCATAGGTAAATCTAATCCTATGGAAGTCAGAGGTTTCAGGTTTCCAGCTTCAAAAATATCTTTAAAATATATATATATTTTTAAATAAAGTAAGTCAAAAAGGTAAAAGTAAACGAAGACAGAATTTGCAGTTTTGGTTGAGCTGCCTTTGATTTTCTAATATTTTTTGGCATAAAAATGAATCAATAATTTTGACACATACAATATATTGTTGGCTATTTCCAAAGTGCAGAGGAAAAGTCAGCAGGCAGTATGGACCAGTATGGTAACTTCACATTTGTCTGCGACCTGCCATAATTGTGGTAAAGTGTCCAAGAACTCTTCTCATAACCTGAGTGCACATCGCAGCTGACTACGGCAGCTGGTTTAGTCCAAATAAAATCAAAGTACTTTTTTGCATTTGAGTTGGTTCGAAGCCGGTTCACATTCTCAACTACTTCAGGGTTAATTTGAAAGCATACGGAGACCACCTCTGAGCAGGTCTCAATACGCTTCTCTGATCCTCTTTTAGCACCTTTGGATTGACTTAATGATCTGTTTTCTGATTTCTGTAGGCAAAGCCGGGGAGCTGATTGATCGGGGTGATAACACATATGGTGGCAAGTGGGTGATAAATCCCAGTGGAGGACTCATCTCTAAAGGACACCCACTCGGAGCTACAGGTACAGTTTACTAAACACACCTGATAGTGAATGTAGGTCAAAGTACATTTAAGGAATTGGTCAGCTAAAGTGCCTTGCAAAAAAGACGGGGTCTTCTTTATGCTTCAAAAGGTGCCACACATTCTTTATTGGAAACAGGTCGGGACTGCAGGCAGGCCAGTCAAGTACCTGTATCCTATTCCTCTGTAGCCAGAAGTTTGTAATGCGTTCAGAATGTGGTTTTGCATTGTCTTGTTAAAATATGCATGGGCGTCCCTGGAAAAGAAGACAGCATATTGTGCTCTAAAATCTCAATGCACTTTTCAGCATTAATGGTGTCATCACAGAAGTGCACTGTCCTGCTGAATTTAGCTTTAATTTGCCCCAACACACCTGTCTGTTTTTTTGTGTGACTACAGTAAATCCTTTATTAGCTGGTTCGAGGGTGTTTAAATTCTGTGTAAGATCAATTTATACAATGTTTATTTTGCTAGCGCATATTGTTATTCTTCAGGTGAGGGATATCAAACTCAGTTCCTGGAGGGCCGCAGCTCTGCACAGTTTAGTTCTATCCTTTAAAGGGCCATGAAACCCCCTCGTTTCAGCAGGGTGTTTTTACACCTCTACTTTGGAAAAAGTCAGAAAAGTGGGCGTGTCCAGCTCTGTTTAGGGGGAGTGTCGGAGGAACTAAAGTGGGATGGTGTGGGAGTGTCTATTTGGGCACGCGCGAGTTTCAGTCAAAATACACACACCTGAGAAAGTGATGGTGTTTAACCTACATGGACATCTGTAGTCGAATTATTTGCCAAATTATTAAATGTTGGACTTTAACTGCAGTTTGGCTCTTTCATTCAGGGAATTCATTCATGCCCCTCGCGACAAACGCGATATTTGATTCGAGGAACTGCTCTAAGCGTGTATTTTTCATGCAATGTTTGATACCGAACGGCGAATAAGAGAAAAAAAAAACTCTGCATTTCCCGGAAACTTAGATGCACACGACAGGTAGCGTCAGAAAGCCGCGTGTGTTATTCCGGTCACAAAATGCGGTGCTATGTTTGCACTCAGTGCAATAGTTAACTTAATTCGATACGAACAAACTGAATAAACAAAGAGCACTGGTTGCTCACTTACCAAATCTGTAGAGGCAGGACAATCACCAGCAACTAGAGCCGCGTCTTTATGAAGAGAAGACTAACGTTACAAGCGAATCCGGATTTCAGCGTTTGCAGATGAGAACAGCTCTCAGGTAAACAATGTTCCTCCTTAGACTTGTAAGTTATTGTTGTCGAGCGTCGCGTACACTGTTAATCCACACGTGATCCAGCTGAGCTCTCACAGAGAGAAAATGAAAACGAAACTTAACTGCAGCAAACTATAAAAGCAACACTTCACGCTTGTTTTGCCGACACAACGTGGCATCTCTGTGGCGTAAACACGGTGACACTAATGAATATTAATGAAGTTGCACAATAGAGCGCGCTAATTGGTTTGAACCAAGCCTTACTCATGCATTAATGCAACACACTGTAAGACGTAATAAGACTCACTCTGGCACAGACGCCCAGTCTGCACGCTGGAATACATTGCTATTATGTCATGACCGTGACGCAGCTTCTAAAATTAGTTTCAAACCGGAAGTACGAATTTGCTTGAAATAACGCAAAAACAACCGATTTACACTTTTTAGTGAAATATAGGTGTCCTAATAGTGTTTTTAGCAGTGTGGGACACATATACGACTGTCAACAGCTCAAAAAATGTGTTTTGGTGTTTCGTGACCCTTTAACACACTTACCTGCAGGTTTCAAACAAGTCTGAAGGACTCAGCTAGTTTGATCAGGTGTGTTTAATTAGGGTGGGAACTAAACTGCAGAGTTGTGAGTCTCGAGGAGTTTAACATGCGTGCTTTAGGTGAACATTTAGGCCATGCAGTTGAATCCACCGACAGAAAATGTTTGTTCTTCAATCAAAGTCTGACCATTTGCGACCACATTTGGAGTGACGGTCCTTCTCTAATGATGTCACAATATTCTTAACCACACCCCTCTTACTGTTAGTTTGCTATAAGGGAATGATGCGCAAAAAGAAAGCCCCGCCCCTACTCAAAATTACGTTTCAGTTGGAAGTACATCAACACAACTGCAACTTCCAGTTAACAGGGACTTATGGCAGGTCCTGACTGGCAGGAGATTCCAACCATTTTTATCACACTTACTTACACTTGTAAAATGGAGGAAGAAACTGATCCTAGAACTGTGTACTGTAAAGTTCCTGTCAAGCTCTGACAAAGTCCCATACATCAATAGTCTTTTCTGATCCTTCCCTTAATAAACGACCGATGAATCCCCTGTTGTAAGCGTGTCGATTGCTGAACTCGTGAGAAAAATGACGGGAACACAGCACAAGGATTTGGCTATAATAAATAAACTACAACCACTGATTCTTCATCTTTGCGTAGGGAAAGTAACACTAACTTTCCCTCACACATCAGAGCACAGCGTCTTCACAACATGATTTAACCAGGATCTGCTACAGTGCTTGTCTTCCTCTTTTTCTTTCTACTGTGTTTGTGGCCGGTGCCGGGGGGTTAAATTTTCCTGGGTCTGTGTGCACAACAAATGGGCTTGGCTTGAGTTCCGTATCAACTTCACGCCGACATGGCTAAAGATTTGTTACCATGTTGATTTATTCGAACGCAAATAGCCCCTTTCACACATATAGACCTTTCCGGAAAAATTACCAGCAATTTTCCGGAAAGGTGTGTATGTGTGAACAAGCCCTTTTTGAAAATACCAGTAAATTCTTTCTGGCTATTTTCCGGAAAGAGAAGTTGTAACATTACCTGTAATTTGCCGGAATGCTGCGCTGTTTGAATGCAAAAGGAAGATTGCCGGAAAGAGCGCGTGCACGTCTTGAACGTGCTGACGTGAGACGCCTGCTTTAGCCAATCAGAACTGTCAGACGCATTCACGTCCGCGCGGTTTATGAGAATAAAAGCCTTTGAATATTTTACCAGACATATTTAGCTGCTAGATGTTAGTCAGATCACGTTTATATGTTCATCTTAATGCCAACCGTGTAAATAATTATCGATAAGATGCTTATGATAAGCCGTTGTTTGTTTACCTTCAAGCTTTGCATGTGCCCGTGAAACAGCCTGTGAGCGCCAGCACACACACATATCATGTACGTCTCATCTATGTGTTTTCACCGGAGTTGTTCACAATACTGATCCATCCACAGAGTTTGTAATTTAGTCAAATGTTTACAAAAACAAGCGCAGCCGTTTAAAGCTCATTTGTGGTTAATGACGTCAGAATTTACCGGTATTTTGGAATGGATGTGTGAATGCTCTTTTTCGGAAAAATTCCATAACGTCCTCGCCTGTGTGAACAGCGCTTTTTTGAATTTACAGATAAAGTCGTTTCGGAAATTTTCCAGATATTTACCGGTATCACTTTGTGAAAGGGGCTATTGTGTCGTCTCTTTTATAGATGAATCAATAGTTTTAAACACAGTGCATTTTCAGATTTAAGCCTTTTTTATTAGGTACACCTGTCTAACTGCTCGTTAACGCAAATTTCTAATCAGCCAATCACATGGCAGCAACTCAATGCATTTAGGCATGTAGACATGATCAAGACGATCTGCTGCAGTTTGAACCGAGGATCAGAATGGGGAAAGGGGATTTTAGTGACTTTGAACGTGGCATGTTTGTGATTGCCAGACGGGCTGGTCTGAGTATTTCAGAAACTGCTGATCCAGTGGGGTTTTCACGCACAACCATCTCTAGGGTTTACAGAGAATGGTCTGAAAAAGAGAAAATATCCAGTGAGCGGCAGTTCTGTGAGCGCAAATTCCTTGTTGATGAGGTCGGAGGAGAATGGCCAGACTGGTTCCAGCTGATAGAAAGGCAACAGTAACTCAAATAATCACTTGTTACAACCGAGGTATGCAGAAGAGCATCTCTTAACACGCAACATGTCCAACCTTGAAGCAGATGGGCTACAGCAGCAGTAGACCACACCGGTGACAACAATACAGACAATTGTAATATATAATATATTAAATTATATTATATATATGATTATAATATATTAAAATATTTTGATATCAAATGAATGAGGTACTTTTAATTCACAGAATATAATAATAATCACAGAATCTTGATATTAACCCATAAGAATCCACTGTGACACGGGTGTCACATACAATTGTAGACAATTGCATGCAGAAGCATGTTCTAAGTGGTTCACTTTATTCTGTATTTTTCTATAAGGAGAAATCAGTCCAGGTTCTTATGTATTGTGGCCGGGAAGTGCAAAACAACATTACAAAGTGTGAAACACTTTTACAAAGCTCAAGACAAATTGACATTTTGGAAAACATTTTTACTTATCATACTTATGGGTTAAAATACATTAAAATGATCTCTGACGAACCACAGGTCTCTGAATGGCTGCTAAAAATTCACAAATGCATGTTTGGAATCATAGGTTTACTGTGTTTTTGATCAAATAAACAACCACAGTAAACATGAGACGTTTCTGCAAAAACAATAGAAAATAGGTTTATTCCAATTGTTTGACCAGTGCATCCTTTAATCCCCATTCATCATCTTTACAGTGATATTATTATGTTGTGGTACATGACTTACAATGTTATCTAAAGGCATTTGAGATGATTTCTTTTTACAGTTATACATTTTTCTCCAATTATATGTTTGAACACCTCTGCTATGATGGGTTGAGGATCACAGGCTTGCTTTGGCTGACTCTTGTTCTTATTCTAAGTCTCTTATCTTGTTGGGGTTAATGAGCAAAAGTGCAAGCAGTTTAACCCAACAGGATAAAATGTCCAGCCTGAGCGTTAACACACGAGTCAGCACCGAGGGATTAAGACAGGGTGTCAAGTCACCGGACATCCAGAACTGCAGACAAACAGCATAGCAATAGAACTCTGTTCTGGGTTGTGTCAATTATTATTATGATTTTTATTTATTTTTATGCCAGTAGTGAAAGTACTAGGGGTGGGAATCATTAGGGACTTCACAATTTGGTTATGTGAATTATTGACTTACATTTGTCCTTTTTTCTTTAGCTGTGTGAATACATCTTTCCAACTTTATTGTATGCATATTATGTCAACCTGTCTGCATTCCTTAGTGATTCTAAAGATTTAGAATTATTAGCCCTTCTGTATAATTTTCCCCCAATTTTTATTTAACCAAAAGCATTTTTTAACACATTTCTAAACATAATAGTTTTAATAACTTATTTCTTATAACTGATTTATTTTATCTTTGTCATGATGACAGTACATAATATTTGACTAGATATTTTTCAAGACACTTTATTTACCTTAAAGTGACATTTAAAGGCTTATCTAGGGTAATTAGGCAAATCATTGTATAACAAGACAATCGCAAAACAAAATTGCTCAAGTTGGCTTGTAATATTAATGTGAGAAAAAATAAAACTGCTTGTATTGTACATAAGCTTTGCACGACTGATAGTTTTAAAACCTACCTGTCTAAAAGAAATACTTCAGCCATTGTGTCATCCTTCAGACCGCGGTTTTGACATGCGTGTTCCCTCCAGTGTGCAAAAGCAACTCCATTGATTCAGGATTTAGGAAAGTTTTGATTCAGCATTTTTGGCAGAAGCCCTTTTTAAAAACAATTATTCTTTTCATGGGTCTTTCAGAAAGAAGGTCAGGTTGATGCTGAGTTTGCCTGCTGTCACTCTCTTTCCCTGTCAGCTGCGGTAGGTCTCGCTGCATGTGAACGTGCAAATGAGTCTTGGATCTATCTGCGTGAAAAGGGTGTGCAGATATACAAATCTACATTTGTTAACAGACAGTTTGGGACACCTTTTGTAATGTTTGGAGTAAGAGTACAGCGGGGAAAATAGGTATTTGACACATCACAATTTTTCTCAGAAAACATATTTCTAATGGTGCCATTGACTGGAAATTTTCACCAGACGTTCGTAACAACTAAATTAATATATGCAAAGAAAATCTACAAATACAAATGTGTTAAAAAATCTAGTTAGTTTACACATTAAGTAATACAATGAAATGACGCAGGGAAAAAGAACACATGAAGAAAGGGAGGTGTAGAAAGGCAGTGAAAGACCAGACAGCAGCTGAAATCTCTTAGTAGTTTTTTTAGCAACCCTCTGCCCTTCATCATTACAAATGAATATCAGCTGCTTCAGCCCAACATCTACATTACTGTGATGAAGAAGATGATCCCAGAGTGGACATTTCAGCAAGACAATGATCCAAAACGCAGTCAAGGAAACTCTCAGATGCTTTCAAAGGAGGAAAATCAAGCAGTAGAATGGCCTAGCCAATCACCTGACCTGAACCCAATAGAATATAGCAATTAAAGATCTGATTTGATAGACGAGACCCACAGAACCACCAAGATTTTTCATCATGCCTGATCGAATGGAGAAACACTCACACTGACAGGTTGTTGTGACATTGAGAGTGTGTGTATGTACTGAGTGAACTCTGGCCTGGTTTGATGTGCAGGTCTGGCTCAGTGTGCGGAGCTGTGTTGGCAGCTGAGGGCCGAGGCGGGGCCCCGACAGGTCCCCGGGGCAAAGCTCGCCCTGCAGCACAACATCGGCCTCGGTGGAGCCGTGGTAGTCACACTCTACAAGATGGGCTTCCCTCAGGAAACAAGGTATGTGTCAGGCTAAATGAGTTTGAGATCACTAGCCCAGCTCACCAATATCCAATGGTTTTATATGTTGAATGCTCACTAGTGCTGTATTTCACTTTGTTTAAAAATTATCACTTAAAAATATACTTAAATAAATTTTAGTTTAACATATTATTTTATTGTTAAATACTATTTGTTTATTTTCTTTATAGTTTTTAAGCTTGATGCATAAATCGTTTGTTAACAGAGAGATTTTGAGATTATTTTTGATGACTTTTTGTCAATGTACATTTTCTATGTATGATATATATATATATATATATATATATATATATTTTTTTTTTTTTATCCAAAAACGTCAATATTGTTATAGTAAATATTTAAATATGTAAATAAATTAATTAAAAAAAATAATATATATATATATATATATATATATATATATATATATATATATATATATATATATATATATATATATAAGATTATTTCAATTGTAAATAACATGTTTTGTGTTATATTAGGATTTAAAATGTCATTTATTTATGTAATGGCAAAGCTGAATATGTTCCCGACATATTACTCCAGAGATATGCTGTAAATACCCTTTTTCAGATATCCTTATTAATTTAAAAGTACCATTTATTGTTATTACAATTATTAAAACTGTTTGACTGTGATACATTTGTTTTCAATAATAATTCAAAAAATTGTAAATATCTTTTTGTAAAATAATTTATTGTCAATCTAATGTCACTGTCAATTGCTTGGTAAGCATTCTTTATCTTTAATCATAGTAACATCATACTTTTCAGCAGTAGTGTATTTCTATTAATTTTTATATTTTTGGTTTGTTTTATTGTTTGTTGAACTTTTATGTGGATCTATCAGTGGCCTTAACTATCTGTAGCAACATTTACAACAGAAATAATCATGTTCAGTAAGCTTTTTGAAGTTTTAGGCTTGACCAATTGAGCCCTTTTACATGTTTGTTTTAAGCTGGGTACAAATTCCAAGGTACAAACGAGTGCAATTCTATATGACCCTCATACTGAAATGCACATGGCCTGGTCTGTACATCAGCAAGTACAGTGCTCAACATATATGAGTACACCCCTCACAAATCTCTCTTTTGAATTCATATTTTAATAGGAAGCTATACAATATTATAATTGTGCATATGCATTACATTAGTTTGTACTGAAGCAAAATCTGGAGCTTATCAAACAGAATCACTTACAATAAGTCCAAAAACTGGTACACCCAAATTTACAGTGTATGTTCTAGAAAAATATTAAATACAAAATATTTATCTTTAAAAGAGAGAAAAAATCAAGAGAAGCAAAAAACAAAGCAAAAAAAAAAAAATAGTTGAAATTTTAAAGTTTGTAATTTATTTTGCTGTATTTCGCTTGAATTTTATTGTATTATCTTTTAATTTGTAAATATGTTTGGTGACTAAAATATTATTTTAATAAATATATCAGTTTAATAAATCTGTTTTGTTTAAATGCACCAAAATACATTGCCTATATTCGCAAAATATCCATTTAACAAAATATTTATTTTCAAACTGGGGTGTACTTAATTATTCTGAGCACTGTACATGCAGTTGAGGGCAAAATGAGTAGTCCTTCTGTGCAATTTGGATTATTTTTCCAATTTTTCCAAAGTGATGTTTAATAGATTTATATGTATTTTAAACCTTTTAAAAATGTAATAGTGTTAACAAGAGTTAATTTCTTTTATCTTTGCTGTGATGACAGTACATCGTATTTTACTAGCTATTTTGCTAGATACTAGAATTCAGCTTAAAGTGATATTTAAATGCTGAACTAGGTTAACCAGACAAGTAAAGGTAATTAGGCAAGTCATTGTATTACAGTGGTTTGCTCTGTAGACAAATGAAAATAATATTGCTTATGGTGGCTAATAGTATTGACCATAAAAAGTTTTTTAAAAAATTAAAAACAAACAAGACTTTATCCAGAAGAAAAAATATCATCGGAAATACTGTGAAAAAGTCCTTGCTCAGTTAAACATCATTTGAGAAATTTTATTTTAGAACAGTATTTTAAAAATAAAAATTGACTTTAACTGTATGTTTGCTTCACAATGTCTTAGCCATGACTGTCCACAAACCAACCGCAGAGAGTTTTTCACCTGTTTAGTCGATTAAAACAGCTGTTCCCAATAAATCAAGGTAATTAAAGATGCTTTAGAACTGCTTGGACTGTTTGTAATAATATCGAACTTTGGATTTAGCTATAGACTTTGTGAAAGCTTGCAAAGGGTATCATTAATTTTGGACATGCCACATTCTGATTATAAAAGCTGATAAATATTTTTTTTACACAATATTGTCTCTTTTACATGGTCTTATTATCTTTAGGCAGAAGCCTTTGCTGTTTCCGGTCAAAAAAAACTTGCTGGTTATTTTAAAATAACTTCAAGTCAGAATTTGCCAGAGGTATGAATAATTTCAGGCTTGACTGTGTATGTATATACACAAATGTTTTATACATAATAGTCATGCAAAATATTTATATACACAAAAATATACACAGTACGCACAAATATACTTTTTAAATATACTTTTATTTTAGATGTGATTATTATTATTATTATTGTAATTATTATTAATATTATTATCAGAAAAAGAATGTCTCCTAAAGAAACGTATGATAGAAATACTGTTAAACATCACTTGGGAAATATTTTTCAAATTAAAAGATCACGTGTGCAGAGTTACTGAAGTTTGTCCTGCGCACTTGCGTTTTTTTTAGTTACTTCTTTGGTTTGGTGCGTTAATCTGATCGTTACTATTATTCAAAAGAAGGTAATGATTCGCACTCAATTGCTTCATACTGTTTTTATTTTTACTTTTTCTTACATTTTACAGTTGATAACAGAAAAACAGACGTTTCGGCACAAAGCCTTCCTCAGTGTGTGGAAGTGTGTTATCAAATTAAAAGATAAAAATTGACTTCAACTGTATGTGTGTGCTCCACAATGTCTTATCCATGACTGTCCACAAACCAACCGCAAAGACCTTCTGTTTTTCACTTGTTTAACTGATTAAAACAGCTGTTCCCAATGAATCAGGGAAATTAAAGATGCTTTAGAACAGATTGGACTGTTTGTAATGATATTGAACTTTTCCCATAGACTCTGACAGTTTGTAAAAGGTATGATTAATTTCGGACAGGTCACTTTATGCCTAAAGATAAGCAAAAGCTGATAATTTGTTTTCACAATGATGCCTACACAAATATATTAGTAAATATAAACCTTTATGTCGGATGTGATTTTATCATGATAATCTTTTTTATTATTAAATGAAATAAGAATGTGTCTAGAAGAAATTTTTTTGGAAATACAGTTAAACATCACTTGGAAAATTGTGCAAAATATAAAAAAAAGAATAAAAATTGTACATGAGGGTTTATAAGTAGTATAACTTTGTTCTATTAACTTAGTTAAATGACGTTATTAGGAGATTTAATAAATCGTTTATATACAGGATATACAGTTGAAGTCAAAATTATTCTTTTTTAAATATTTTCCAAATTATGTTTAACAGTTTAAGGGATTTTTTTACAGTATTTACTATAATATTTTTTCTTCTGGATAAAGTCTTATTTGTTTTATTTCGGCTAGAATAAAAGCAGTTTTTAATTTTTATTTAACCCATTTAAATGTCAATGTTATTAGCCCTCTCAAGCAAATTTTAATTTCCGATTGTCTACAGACAAAAAGACACCATTATACAATGAATTGCCTAATTACCCTAACTTGCCTAATTAATCCAAGCCTAATTAACTAAGCCTTTCAATATCACTTTAAGCTGTATAGAAGTGTCTTGAAAAATATCTAGTCAAATTTTCTGTACTGTCATCATGACAAAGTAAAAAAAAAATATTAGAGATGAGTTATTAAAGCTATTATGTTTAGAAATGTGCTGGAAAAAATCTTCTTTCCATTATGCAGAAATTGGGGGAAATATACAGGGGGGCTAATTATTCTGACTTCTTAAATGTTGGATTTCTTTGCACACATTAAAACAAGACCAGCGGTAAATGTTCTGTTGTAAACGTTGTCAGCTCTAGGATAGCAGCGGTGTCCACCAGCGCCTCCAGTGACCGCTCGGGGTTCAAAGCTCACACCGTCTTCAAGGAGATCGAGAAGAAGTTGCAGGAGGTAATTCACCAATTATATTGTCGAAATAACACTCTGCCTCTGTTCATTGTCATTTGGAGCTTGTTGACGCTTTTTAGGCTTCTGCAAACATCCAAGACTAAGAGAAACCAATAGAAAACGAATGCAGTAACATACTACACATGCATGATTATTCTTTTCGGCTTAGTACATTTATTAATCAGGGGTCGCCATGGTGGAATGAACCGCCAACTTATCCAGTATATTTTTTACGCAGTGGATGCCTTTCCAGCCGCAACCCTTCACTGGGAAACACCCGTACACTCTCATGCACACTCATACACTACAGACAATTTAGCTTACCCAGTTCACCTATAGCTCATTCCAGGAAACCCACGCGAACACGGGGAGAACATGCTAACTCTACACCCACTGGGCCACCGTGCTGCTGTATTCTCTTATATTATATTATATTATATTATATTATATTATATTATATTATATTATATTATATTATATTATATTATTTTTTTTCCTTTGGCTTAGTCCATTTATTCTATATTATATTATATTTTATTATATTATATTATATTATATTATTTTTTTCTTTGGCTTAGTCCATTTATTCTATATTATATTATATTATATTATATTATATTATATTATATTATATTATATTATATTATATTATATTATATTATTATTTTTTATTATATTATATTAATTTAATTTTTATTTTTCTTAGTCCATTTATTCTATATTATATTATATTATATTATATTATATTATATTATATTATATTATATTATATTATATTATATTATTTTTTTTTCCTTTGGCTTAGTCCATTTATTCTATATTATATTATATTTTATTATATTATATTATATTATATTATTTTTTTCTTTGGCTTAGTCCATTTATTCTATATTATATTATATTATATTATATTATATTATATTATATTATATTATATTATATTATATTATATTACTTTTAAACTTTGTCATTGTTTTTAACAGGAAGGTGAAGCATATGTAAAGAAAATTGGCGGTGTTTTTGCATTCAAAGTGAAAGATGGTCCCGGTGGAAGTGATGCATTATGGGTGGTGGATGTGAAGAATGGCAAAGGCTCTGTTTCTAGTGACGCAGGTGTGTTTTTTTCATTCATTCATTTTACTTCAGGTTATTCCCTTATTCATCAGGGTTTCCACAGCGGAATGAAGTGCCTGTTGTAAAACAAGACATTTAACTTTCCACTATTGGAGTAATTGATTCAGTTAGGATGTTTTATTCAGTAATAATGCATTAGTATGTGTATCAAATATGACAATTAACACTGAAAATAAAAATAAACACTACTGTTTTATTATTAATGAAAGAATCAAAAGCTGTTGCAGCATTGTCCTAAAATACATCACATGGAAACAAGCTTTTTTTTTTTTCTTCAAAATGTTAAATGAAACTTTAAATACAAGCATTTCAATCTGCTATTATTTCTGAAGATACAAATGTTAAAATTACTAACACCGGATGTTGACTTATGTCTGACAAAGATTTGAATTATAGGGTAGTTTAAATTTCTTAATGTGAAAGTTTGTGAACTTCGGGGGCACAATACAAGGTTAACTTTTTTCCCTTTTTCCACAGCCTCGTCCTTTGTCTGTAAAAAAAAAAAAAAAAAAGCCAGTGTATCACTTCAACGTTAACATCAAATGACTTGGGATCCATTTGAAAACGACTTGTTTTAATGATTTTGAGTCGACTGTTTGTTTCGAGTGGCAATAATTTTATACACAGTCAACTTTCAGATTGAAAACTTTGCAGGATGTTTTCATTCACTTAGAGCTGTATTAAACACTGCACGAAAGGTTATTTTCAAAAATCCATAATATGGTCGCTTTTAATAAGTGCAGTGTTGGTAAACATTAGGTGTGCAGGTTACATTGTAACCCTGTGTCCTAACAACATGCTATGTGACAAGAGTGATGAGCAATTTGGCTGTTTGCACAGATGAAACACGACAGAAATTTAAATACAGCCATTCAGAAGCACAGAATAGTGCACTCACTGCACTCTAGCAAAATTGTGAGCTTTGTAACCTAATTAATACATATTAAACCTCTTTAGCATTATTATATGTAGATGCTGAATCACTGATACCTGTTGGGAGTCGCATGTTTCAAATGGTTTATTTTATTTTCAAGATCTGCTGCTGCTTTTAGTGGTATGGCAATAAATGTCATGTAAAAAGGGTTTAAATCAGCCTTTAGGCTCAATAGTCAGGCACACTCATGTCAATCTGGCAAATTGCGTGGACTCGTCAAAGGAGGACCCAAATGAAATTGTTTTGATCCTGGAGCAGGGCTCGAAATTGCGACCATTTTGGTCGCATATGCGCCCGAAAATTAATCGATGCGACCTCATAATATATTTGGGCGCATTAGTGCGACCTGTTTTGATTTTTTTTTAAAACGTGCTGAATCGCTCTTCCCTGCCGCTATATTGGTTCATATTAGCTGTCAATCACTCAAGGCTTTTCACTGTTAGATGACAGGGAGGGAGCTTTTATTTCCACGGGAAATGCAAACGGCTAAAGAGTGAAAACTTAAAGCACGCAGGTTTGCAAAGTGCAAACCCCACCTAAAGTTGAGGCGCAGATGAGAGCGATCATGACACGTGGTGAGTATTGATCCGCCAGGTGAGATCAATCGAGTACGCGCTTCTTGGAGAAGGTGCCCGAATCTCCATGCGTTGCATTCACTGCGTGTTCAGCGCAAATGTCCGCTAAAAGTCAAATCTAATACTGTATCATCGCCAAAGAAGCTCGCCTTTACTAAGTTTACACTGAAACTGCGTCTCATAACAAACAGCGGTATTTCGCCGATGCTCAACCTGCTCATAAATTGGGTCGGCTGACTCGCCTGCTTTTCCACAAACACAGAAAAATGAAAATCAGCTCAGACGGAACATTTAAATTGACACAAACTGAAACCAAAACTTTTAAAGAGTGATAGAAGTGAGACTTTACTTACTTTCTTTTGCCTATTCTTTCTTGAGGTGTATGTAATTTTTTTTATTTAGTTACTGAGCTGTTTTGCAGCTTTCAGCCTTGAATTTAATATTTTATTATAATCTTTTGTTTGTTTTGCAGCAGAAATATTATTTATTAAACTGACATGCATATATATGCTGTTTAGCAGTACAAAATAAATATTTCTTACTGCAATGCTTCATTTTTGTTTGATGCAAACTATACATTTATTTTTCATAAAGTAACAGACTTTTTATAGCAGATAACTTGCATTCAAGCACATTCAAGGCAGCATGATGATGACAAATGGAATTCATTGTTACTATTATTGTCATTTACATCATCATTAATATTCTAGAATTATAATACATACACATTTTGGAATTATTGCACACAAATATCAATGTCATCTCAGCATTAGTTAGATAGTTGTTTCTGGTTTTTGTTAGTCCTAATTGATGTTGTTTTAAAATACAATAAGTCCCTTAAAATACAATTTGCAGCGGTGCTCAATCATTTTTGGTGGGTGCTCCTAAATTTTTTCTGGTGCTCCTAAATTTTTGAAGTTGGGAGCACCGGTGCTACCAAATAAAAAAGTTAATTTCGAGCCCTGTGGAGTGCAATACTTAGTTCAACCACTGGGTGTCAAACTTACATACTGCACCTTTAACTTCTAAATGTTCTCTACAGGCTGTTGGTGATTTATTGGTACAGCATGCAAATTGGAAAACTAATGTATTTTGCATTACACTGCATCATTTTACTGATTAACTCTAAATTCGGTGTCTCCAAGAGTTTATTTGCATGGAATTTGTACTTAGTAGTTGAAGTAGTTGAAGTTTCACTGTTTACTTTCTGCACAGGTAAAAAGGCAGACTGCACTATCGCTATGGCTGACGCAGATCTGCTGGATATGATGACAGGGCAGCTCAATCCACAAACGGTACGTTCTGATGGTCTGTCTTTTACAGATCTGTTTTTTTTTATTAACAATGGCAACGCCTGAATTCTATACCTACTAGAAAAGCCATATGGATCATCCTGACCGACCGTTATATATAAGACTGTATAAAATTAATTTTTTGTCATAATATTTACATTTAAAGCTTCTATTGAGATTTTAGAATTAAGTTTTGAATGTGTATGGTAGGGCTGTAGATTTTGGAAAAATTTGACATTGCAATATTTTTTTTCCCTGCGATATATAATGCGATAGAAATACAATTTCACCACATGATAAATAACTGTATTTGGAAAGTCATTATTTAGACTGATTGGGATTATTTTGTATGGGAATGATATATTAATATGTTTTATATAATTTATGATATACATAAAATAAACATATATATATATATATATATATATATATATATATATATATATATATATATATATATATATATATATATATGTATGTATATGTATATATGTATATATATATATATATATATATATATATATATATATATATATATATATATATATATATATATATATATATATATATATATATATATATATATATATATATATATATATATATATATATATATATATATATATATATATATATATATATATATATATATATATATATATATGTATGTATATATATATATATATATATATGTATACTAATCAGCCAGTCACATGGCAGCAACTCAATGCATTTAGGCACGTAGACATGGTCAAGATGATCTGCTGCAGTTCAAACCGAGCATCAAAATGGGAAGAAAGGTGATTTAAGCGACTTTGAATGTGGCATGGTTGTTGGTGCCAGACGAGCTGGTCTGAGTATTTCAGAAACTGCTGATCTAGTGGGATTTTAACGCACAACCATCTCTAGGGTGTACAGAGAATGGTCCGAAAAAGAGAAAATATCCAGTGAGCGGCAGTTCTGTGAGCGCAAAATCCTTGTTGATGTCAGAGGAGAATGGCCAGACTAGTTTGAGCTGATAGAAAGGCATCAGTAACTCAAATAACCACTCGTTACAACTGAGGTCTGCAGAAGAGCATCTCTAAACACACAACATGTCCAACCTTGAGGCGGATGGGCACAGCAGCAAAAGACCACACCGGGTGTCACTTCTGTCAGTGAAGAACAGGAAACTGAGGCTACAATTCACACAGTATACACACAATAGAAGATTGGAAAAACGTTGCCTTGTCTATTGAGTCTCGGTTTCTGCTGTGACATTCAGATGGTAGGGTCAGAATTTGGCGTAAACAACATGAAATCATGGGTCTATCCTGCTTTGTATTAACAGTTCAGGCTGGTGATGGTGCTGGTGGCCACTTTGGGGCCATTAGCACTAATTGAGTATCGTGTCAACACCACAGCCTTTATGACCACAGTGTACCCATCTTCTGATATCTACTTCCAGCAGGATAACGCACCATGTCATAAAGCCCGAATCATCTCAGACTGGTTTCTTGTACATGAAAATAAGTTCACTGTACTCAAAATGCCTCAGTCACCAGTTTTCAATCCAATAGAGCACCTTTGAGATGTGGTGGAACAGGAGATTCACATCATGGATGTGCAGCTAAAAAATCTGCAGCAACTGCTTGATGTAATCATGTCAATATGGACCAAAATCTCTGAGGAATATTTCCAGTTCCTCGTTGAATCTTTGCCACAAAGGATTAAGGCAGGTCTGGTCCAACCCGGTACTAGTAAGGTGTTCCTAATAAAGTGGCCAGTGAGTGTATATCGATGCTCAAACGATATATTGTGCAGCCCTTGTCTGTTGGCATATTTCATAAAGTCATTATGATACATAAAATATAAATTGTGTTTTGCAATATAGCCTATAAATGTACTGGTTACTAGACTCAAAGGTGCGTTGCTCACTTTGTCCAGCAAGCCGGAAAGCAAATGTGTCGTCTTAATTTACCTACTTTTATCATGCCCTAAAAGTACTTTTGAGTGTGTAACAAGAGTACAGGTGCATCCCAAATGGCATACGTATGCACTATTCTATGCTATTATGTATTATAAATAGCATAAGTGGCGCATTCACACTGAAATATTAGTTTTATTTTAATGCCATGTCCACAGGTATTTTTATATATGGAGTTTTCCCAGATTCATTTAAATGATCATGCATGTTTGCTGTCAAAATGTCCCCCTCAGCCCCTTAAAAAAGCTAAACCCTAGCTTCATAATCTGTTCGATGTTCATTTTAATCAAAAGTTGTATCTTTGCTCTATAATGCCGCTGGCTGCAGTTGCCGATAGACGTTCTGATTAGTCTGATGACCTTTAACCTGTAATGTGCAGTCCATAAAAGTTCACTAATCTCCATAGGAAAAAAGATTAACGTAGAGTCACTATGACATCCCTCTGAGCTGGCTTCAGCTATCATAACATGCAAACAGAATTATGCAGCAGATTTATAGAAAAACAATCGAGTGAATTTAAACGCATGTCCAGCTTTGACTCAATCATACGCACAAAGTCGAATGAAACAGACTGCTCAGGCTACCGGGTGACATTGGACATCTTTTACGTAACTCCAAATTAGGCTAATGGCGTCTGATGGTTTCTCCAGTCACGTGACGAAATAGATTGTTTCCATAAGCGCTTTGAAAAGTCAGTCCCCTGTGATTTACACCCATCTGTGTTGTATCACCATGCCCGTCCATCTGCGGGACGCTCCATCAGACATCAGATGGCCGGACAGAAGCTTCATCGAAAAAAATTAGCCACTCTTTTTTTACAGTAATCCTCCATACAGGGAATCGTTTTCAGTTTAATCCCAAATAGAAAAGCCGAACCATTTAGAGATCAAATCCGGCTGGACATGTACGAACGCTCATATGTTGAAAGTCATATGAGAAGTATGGGGAAGGGAGCAGTGATAAATTGTCTTACATTTTTATGGTTATTTTGTATAAGAAATATACACTCACCGGCCACTTTATTAGGTACACCTTACTAGTACCGGTTTGGATCCCATTTTGCCTTCAGAACTGCCTTAATCCTTCATGGTATAGATTTAACAAGATACTGGATAGCATCATGCAGTTGCTGCAGATTTGTCAGCTGAAAATCCATGATGTGAATCTCCCGTTCCACCACATCCCAAAGGTGCTGTATTGGATTTAGATCTGGGGACTGTGGAGGCCATTTGAGTACAGTGAACTCATTGTCATGTTCAAGAAACCAGTCTGAGATGATTCACGCTTTGACATGCGTGCGTTATCCTGCTGGAAGTAGCCATTAGTAGATGGGTACACTGTGTTCATAAAGGGATGGACATGATCAGCAACAATACACAGGTAGGCTGTGGCGTTGACACTATGCTCAATTGGTATTATTGGGTCCAATGTGTGCCAAGAAAACATCCCCCACACCATTACACCACCAGCCTGAACCGCTGGTACAAGGCAGGATGGATCCATGCTTTCATGTTGTTGATGCCAAATTCTGACTCTACCATCCGAATGTCACAGCAGAAATCGAGACTCATCAGACCAGGCAACGTTTCTCCAATCTTCAGCAGATCGTCTTGACCCTGTCTACATGCCTAAATGCATTGAGTTGCTGCAATGTGATTGGCTGATTAGAAATTTGCATTAACGAGCAGTTGAACAAGTGTACCTAATAAAGTGGCCGGTGAGTGTTTGTAAATAGAGGTATTTAATATATACAGTGCTCAACCTATATAAGTACAACCCCTCACAAATCTCTCATTTAAATAAATATATTTATAGAAAGCTTTACAATAATATATTTATGCATGTATTTTAGTGTATTTTATGCATGTCTGTACTGAAGCCAAACCTGGAGCTGATAATAAAACTTATGATAATGTCCCAAGATTAGTGCGCCCAAATTTACATGTTAGAGAAAAATATTAAATAAAAAGAGCAAAATTCAGGGAAAAAAAAGATAAAATTTTGGTAAAATTTTGTAGTTTTTATTTTTTCCCCAATATTTTGCTTGAATTTAACGTATTATTTTTCTATTTCTAAAGATGTTTGGTGACTAAAATATTATTTTAATAAATATATCTGTTTAGTAAGTCTGTTTAGTTTAAATGCATCAAAATACATTGCCTATATTCACTGGCAAATTTTCAAAATGAGTTATGATGAGAACTGGACATTTATATATTTTCAGTTTTTATGACACTTTTATGGTCATTAATAGCTTTAATTATCATTTTAGCCAGTTTTATTCACCCTTTTGATCATTTTGTGTTATTATTAGTTATTAATTCATTCATTCCACTGTGGCTACCCCTGATAATTAAGAGACTTAGCCGAAGGATAGTGAAATGCTATTATTATATATTCTATATTCATGGCACATATTCTGTTAAAAACACACATTTAGTAGCACAACATTAAGTAACAAAAGTTATTTTGCTGTTTGTTCAAACTACTTATTTTAAAACACAACTCTTCAGTTTTTTGAAGACATCTTAATTATTTCATGTTCAGTCCACTTAATTTGTTACTAATCAGCTAACTTAATTCCTTCATGTTGTCCCAACACAAATCGATTGTGTGGAGGACGGTTACGCTACCTGACAAAAGTCTTGTCGCCTATCCAAGTTTTAAGAACAACAAATATCTTGACTTTTAGTTGATCATTTGGTATTAGAAGTGTCTTATATGGAAGGCAAAGGCCTCTAGATTACGCTTATTTTAACAAAATAAAATGTGATCATGCCTTGATTTTTATATATTTAATTATGACAGTAAGGTCTGACTTTGCTCAGACAAAAGTCTTGTCAGAAATAATGTACAGTATAGAATATAAAGTCATGCTGCAGTGGAAAAAGAATGAATATTGTGTATGACTCCCATCAGCTTGGAGGACCGCATCCATACATCTCTGCAATGACTCAAATCACTTTAATAATTAATAAAGTCATCTGGAACGGCAAAGAAAGCGTTTATGCAGGACTCTCAGAGTTCATCAAGATTCTTTTGATTCATCTTGATCTTATCCAAGACATGCTCAATAATGTTCATGTCTGGTGACTGGGCTGGCCAATCCTAGAGCACCTTGACCTTCTTTGCTTTCAGGAACTTTGATGTGGAGGCTGAAGTATGAGAAGGAGCGCTATCCTGCTGAATTATTTGCCCTCTCCTGTGGTTTGTAATGTAATGGGCAGCACAAATGTCTTGATACCTCAGGCTGATGTTGATGCCATCCACTCTGCAGATCTCTCGCACGCCCAAATACTGAATGTAACCTTAAACCATGACTTTTCTTTCATCAAACTTGACTGATTTCTCTGAGAGTTTTGGTACCATGCGGGTTCCAGTAGGTCTTCTGCAGTATTTGTTAAGATTGGGATGCGGATCAACATGTAAAATCTTCCTTTCCCAAATCAAAACAATAGAAGTCATTATTTGTTGTTCATTCCACTGCGATCAACGACAAGAGTTTTGTCAGGAATGTAACCAAGTAACTATTTTATTCAAAAGGTTTTAGTTTTTTTTTTTGAATAATCTTTATCTCTATAATAACCCTTCTGTTTTTTATTCACAGGCATTTTTCCAAGGAAAGCTAAAGATCACCGGGAATATGGGGATGGCCATGAAACTTCAAAACCTTCAGCTGACGCCCGGAAAAGCCAAACTGTGAAACCACAGCTCCCAACAAACAGGAAAATGGCACAAACAACTAATTTCTACATTTCTGTTTAACATATCACACAATAACAAGAGGTCTATTGGTCACTCCATAAATGTAACAGCAAAAAACACACTTGAAAAAGCATGTCAAGCATAATCCAGTACAAAAAAGTAAGCTTGTTACTAGCATATTAATGATAATGTGACTGTTATGGAGCATAATTGAAATAACAATGTGTTGCCATTACAATATTTATAAGTATTAATCAGGCAGAATAAGAAATATGTCTACTTAAACTAATGTTACAGCAGTGACCTTCCTCAAATCAGCATTGATCAAGTGTGATTGGTTTAAAAGCACTGAAGCGTTAATGATGTGTCCGTTAATAAGCGATTGATATCCGGTTATCACGCCTGCATCGACTTACTTTGGACTTTTAAGTGATTCTAGAAAAGTCGATATAAATCAGAATCAAGCTTTGATATTATCAGATGCTGATATTGAATCTTTAAAGACCGGAGAACAGGGCGTCGAGTGTACAATACTGTAATTTAAAAAGTATTTTTGGTATTAATCAAGTGATTTCTAATAAATATTCCGTTTACCTCAAAACATGCTGCCGTTTTACAGATCTTTTTAGATTAATTCATTTTCCTTCAGCTTAGTCTCTTTATTAATCAGAGGTTGCCACTGCGGAATGAACCGCTAACTTATCCAGATATATGTTTTACTTCCAGCTGCAACCCAGTACTAGGAAACACCCATACACACTCATACACTACAGCCAATTTAGTTTATTCAATTCACTTGTAATGTATGCCTTTGGACTGTGGGGGAATCCGGAGCCAACACGGGGAGAACATGCAAACTCTACACAAAAAGGCCAACTCACCTACCTGGGACTTGAACCAGCGACCTTCTTGCTGTGAGGCAACATCGCTACCTACTGCCCCACAGCGCCAGTCGGTTGTAATGAGCATTTAGACAGGCTGCAAGTCCTGCATGTAAGCTGTTTTCTGCAGAGTTTAAACAGTGCTGGGTGTGTCCATGTGGCCACATGAACTTCCTGACCTCCACCTTCTGCTCATCTCTGCATTTGATTCTGATAACACACTGCTGTTCGGCTCTGATGTCTGTATATATACACAAGCAGTTCAACAACCTGAGCTTTTGCGTACTGTACACGTACAATACTAGACATTTAGTTTTTCTATTATGTACAGGATACACATTGTAATAATCTGCAAATATATATATATATATATATTTCACCAGAAGACCGCTATTACTTCGACTTTAATGGAGAAAGTTCACAGTACTCATATAGATTAGTTTTTTTAACTCAAATGGTTTGTAGCAATGGGTTTCCTCTGACGGTTTAAGTTGCCTTAACTTATTGGGTTTTACACTACTCAGTTGGTTTGGTTCTCTTCATTTATCAGGTTTTACTGTGCTCAAATTGCTTTGTTTACTCAAATAGGGTAAGTTCACAGCACTCAATAGGATTAGTTTGTGACCTTAAATGGTTCACTGTAAAAAATGCAGGGTTCCACATAAATCATTCATGTTGACCCAATGTAAATCGATTAACTTTACACTTTTAACAAATTTATATGGATTGAACATAAAAAAATTAAGTTGTCCCAGTGAAATCTCATTCATTGTGTCGTTTGAGCTCATTTTAATTAAGTAGTTTGAACAAAAAAAAAAGATTTTTTAAGTCTTTGTTGCAATTGGTTTCCTCAATTGGTTTGAGTTACCTTAACTTTTGGGGTTTTACAGTGTATATAAATAAATTAGATACTAAGCAGAAGGAAAATGAAAGAATAAATGACTGTAACCAAAATTTTATGAACCAAAAGAACAATTTTCCTCTAAAGAGCCTTTAGTGTAATGGAACGGTCCAATACATGTTAAAGGTTCCTCATGGAACCATTGATGCCAGTGGAGAACCTGTAGTTCAAAGCTTTGCACACTCAAAAAATGGTGTCTGCCGTTTCTTCAAATAACTTATTTAAATGAGTTCAAACAACACAATTTTATGTGACAACTTAATTAATTTATGTTCAATCCACTTAAATTTGTTAAAACTAATAGGTTACCTTAATTCCTTTATGTTGTCCCTACACAAATTGATTGAGTGGAACCCTGCATTTTTTACACTGTAAAAATGCAGGGTTCCACACAATTCCTTCATGTTGTCCCAAAATAAATAGCTACCTTTTTTTTTTTTACATAATTTTAAAATTATTTTTTACAAAAATATTTGTACATTTTTTTATTAAATTTTTTTTATTTTCCCCCATTTATTTATGCTTTTGAATTGCACTATGGGACCTTGAACTTTCTTCCAACAACTTTTAACCTCGCAGTTTAAAAAAGGGGCTTTTATTAATTTTTTAATAGTTTAAAGTGATATATTGTCTGGGTTGGCGTTATATATTACGCTGCAAAAACCCTGTAGTAATCTGCCAGAACATTTTCTATTATTATACAGACTCTGTATATTATTTCTTATACATCAGCAAAACATACTAAATTGTACAAATGAGATTGTCTGAATTCATACAACTTAGCGACTAAATCAAAAAGTTACAAATTGCCGTGAGATTGTGTTGAAATGTCTCATCTGTGAAGACCATGAAATGGAAAAGAAATGCCTTAGCCAGGCGTGTAGAGTGAGTCATGATTTTATGGATTGTCATTTAAATCACAATTAATACATTTGATATTTTTCATACAAAGAATCCGTACAAGTTCTGTAAGGCTTCGGGAATGAGTGGCATGATGTGCGAGTCCATAAAGCCCACTTCTGACAAATATGAGAGAGAAGTTTTATATGGAAGGAATTTCCCTTGGGTTAGCTTTAATAGTGATTGAGACAGAATCTGATTGTGTAAACATGTTGTTAACGTGTGCAGGGGTTACAAATGTCTTCCTGAAGAGCTGCAGGTCTCGGCTGTGTTCTTATAAATACATAAATACTACAGCTAGACACTACCTGAGAAAAGTCTTGTCGCCTATCCAAGTTTTATGAACAACAACTAATAACTGGACTTCTAGTTGATCATTTGGTATCAGAAGTGGCTAATATGAAAGGCAAAGGCCTCTAGATTAAACTTATTTTACCAAAATAAAATATGATCATGCTTTGATTTTTAATTATTTTATTAGGATAGTAAGATCTGACTTTGCTTAGACAAAATTCTTGTCTCATTGCATTCTTTGGATTCATCTTCAATGCTTCCTCCATCTTACCCCAGGCATGCTCAATAATGTTCATATCTAGTGACTGGGCTGGCCAATCCTGGAGCACCTTGACCTCCTATGCTTTCAGGAACTTTAATGTGGAGGCTGAAGTACGAGAAGGAGCGCTATCCTGCTGGAGAGTTCGCCCTCTCCTGTGTTTAATAATGTAATGGGCAGCACAAATGTCTTGATACCTCAGGCTGTTGATGTTGCCATCCACTCTGCAGATCTCTCGCACGCCCAAATACCGAATGTAACCCCAAACCATGATTTTTCCTTCACCAAACTTGACTGATTTCTGTGAGAATCTTGGCTCCATGTGGGTTCCCGTAGGTCTTCTGCTGTATTTGTGATGATTGGGATGCAAATCAACAGATGATTCATCAAAAAATCGACCTTCTGTCACTTTTTCAAATGATCAACTAGAAGTCAAGTTATTATATGTTGCTCTCACAACTGGGATTGACGACAAGACTTTTGTCAGGTAGTGTAGACTGAAGAACCATTGATACCAGTGGTCTTTATTATCAATCGCTATGTTGGATGAAAACATGACTAGCGTGTGTGTGTGTTTTTGTGTCTGTGTGTGAATATATACACACTATATTAACAAAAGTTTATCTACCTTCCCATGCACTTGAGATTTAATGACTTCCCAACATTATCCATGGAGTTAATGGGTTTATCTTTTATGTGACCATTCATTTTCAAGCTCATATGTGAGGTCAGGCACTGATGTTGGACGAGAAGGTCTGGTTTGTAGTCTCCCCTCTAAATAATCACATAGGTGTTCAGTTCGGGACTCTGTGCAGGCCAGTTCATTTCCGCAGACTCATCCACGTCTTTGAAGAGCTTGCTTTGTGCAGTCCTGATGGACCATCCAGAAACTGTTCCTACAAAATTGGGAGCATGAAATCTTAGTATGCTGAAGCATCAAGAGTTCCTTTCACTTTATCTAAGGGGCAAAGCAAAACCCCTGAAAAACGATTCTATTATATGCATTTCAAAGCATGACTGTTGTTTGTGTACATATTTAACAGTTAGCCTATAGTGCAGCTCTTCATGTAAGACGTTGCAAACCCTGCTCATTTACAGTTTCCCAAAAACATATTTGGACACTTGTCACAATTTAAAACGTACACATTGTATAAATAATCAAATTTATACCCATTCAAACCACAAATATATAAATAATGCTAGGGCTTTTCCTAGCAGTTCTCTTTTTTTAACCAACTGACTTGGTGATTTGAATGATTTTTAATGGTAAAATACTTTTAGAAGATCCAAAACCTTCTTGGGATTATTGTATTGTGGTTTAATCGCATACAGATGAAACCAGAAGTTTACATACACTTTAAAAAACGAACAACCATTTTTTAAAAATGTCTAATAGTAAACCATACTGAACGTTTACTATTTTAGGTCCGTTAGGATTACCAAAATGATTTACATTTGCTAAATGCCAGAATAATGAGATAATTTATTATTTTTTACAAGAAAGTCAAAAGTTTACACACATTTCCTTGGTATTTTTTTTAGCTTTGCTTTTAAACTGTATAACTTTGGTCAAATTGTTTTGTGTAACCTTCCACAAGCTTCTCACAATAGATTGAAGGAATTTTGTCCCATTCCTCCTGACAGGATTGGTGTAACTGAGTCAGATTTGTTGGCTGTCTTGTTAGCACAAGCTTTTTCAACTCTGCCCACAAATTTTCTATAGGATTGAGCTCAGGGCTTTGTGATGGCCACTCCAAAACATTCACTCTGTTGTCCTTAAAGCACATTTTAACTCATTTGGCAGTACGCTTAGGGAAGACCAACTTGTGGCCGAGTTTTAATGTCCTGGCTGATGTCTTGAGATGTTGCTTCAGTATTTCCACATAATGTTCTTTCTTCATGATGCCATCTATGCTGTGAAGTGGACCAGTCCCTCCTGCAGCAAAACAGCCCCACAACATGATGCTGCCGCCCCCATACTTCACAGTTGGGATGGTGTTCCTAAGCTTGTAAGCTTTCCTCTTTGTCCTCCAAATGTAACACTGGTCATTATGGCCAAACAGTTCAATCTTAGTTCCATCAGACCACAGGACATGTCTCCAAAAATTATTATTTTTCCCAGTGTAATTTAGCAAATTGTAATCTGACTTTTCTTTTTATTCTGGCTTGTTGATTTTCCCATGTTGTCACACAAGGAAGCAGTGTGTTTGAGGTTTTCCTTAAATGCTATTCTACAGTTGTGCCTCCAATTAACTGAAATGTTGTCAATTAGCCAATCAGAAACTTCCAAAACCTTGACATCATCATCTGAGCTTTTTCAGAGGCAGAATAATCTTATTGTGTGTAAACTTGACTTGCAAGAAAAGTGATAACAATTTCTCAAAAAATCTCTCATTATTCTGCTATTAAGCATAACAGAAACAAATTTGATAATCCTAACTTACCTAAAAGAGAAAACGTTTAGTCACATTCATTCATTCATTCATTTTCTTGTCGACTTAGTCCCTTTATTAATCCTGGGTCGCCACAGCGGAATGAACCACCAACTTATCCAGCAAGTTTTTACGCAGCGGACGCCCTTCCATCTCTGGGAAACGTTTAGTCACATTAATATCTGTTTTTTTTTTTTTTTTTAAATGGTTATTTGCCTTTTTATAGTGTAAGTAAACTTCAGGTTTCAACTGTATCTGTTAATGACTGAAACAGAGAATGCTTAGAAAACAATATTGAAAAACCATCTCAGCAGCATATGATGTACAACATAATAAAACACCGCATATTCCCGTTCCACTGTCCATAAAGATTGTTCATCTCTTCAGTGGATCACATGAAAAGGACACAAAGATACCCATCCACACACTTGATTGAGAAGCTCAGCCATCTGAGGGTCGACAGAGTTCAGCAAATCCCTTTAGCAGGTCCAAAGATTCACAACCCAGCTAATTCACACGCATGCTCCAAAGATAGAAAACAAAAACCAGCGTCTTCAGTTTGGGTCTCTAGACGTTGGTCTCCAGGCCATTCATGTCAATGGTACAGTGCTCTTTGTCTTTCTGGTCCCTTTTGTAATGGAGTGGAGACAGATGAGAGCTCTTCTTGTTGTCTGCGGGCCGGATGCCTTCCTCCAGCTGCATGAGTCGGGCCACGTCGGGCGCCAGGTGCTCGGGTTTCCTCATGGGGCCCGGAGGAGGAGGCTGGAAGCAGCCGTTCTTTTGATAGGACATCATCTGCTGGATGCTGATCATAGGTTTGGTCTCACAGATGAGAGGAATCTGTGGAGAGATGACAGAAAAGTTACTGCTGAGGATGCTTAAGTCTGAGGCCATTTGAGTACAGTGAACTCATCGTCATGTTCAAGAAACCAGTCTGAGATGATTCCGCTTTATGACATGGTGCGTTATCCTGCTGGAAGTAGCCATCTGAAGATGGGTACACTGTGGTCATAAAGTGATAGACATGGTCAGCAACATACTCAGGTAGGCTGTGGTGTTGACACAATGCTTAATTAGTACTAATGGGCCCAAAGTGTGCCAAGAAAACATCCCCCACACCATTACACCACCACCAGCCTGAACTATTGATACAAGGCAGGATGGATCCATGGTTTTGTGTTGTTGATGCCAAATTCTGATGCTACCATCTGAATGTCTCAGCAGAAATCGAGACTCATTAGACCAGGCAACGGTTTTCTAATCTTCTACTGTTCAATTTTGGTGAGCCTGTGCGAATTGTAGCCTCAGTTTCCTGTTCTTAGCTGACAGGAGTGGCACCCAGTGTGCTCTTTTGCTGCTGTAGCTCATCTGCCTCAAGGTTGGACGTGTTGTGCATTCAGAGATGCTCTTCTGCATACCTCGGTTATAACAAGTGGTTATTTGAGTTACTGTTGCCTTTCTATCAGCTCGAACTGAAGTATTGGATGCAAATAGGAAGTAAGGACTGGTGGAAGAGTGTTGTTGTAATGGAATTTGATACCGTACACCGAATGGAAAGAAAAAACGTCCACATTTCACGGTGCAGATGTCTTTGCTTTACTGACTTAGTAAAAGTACTTAGCAAAGTAGAGTGACAGCCATGTTTGTATGGAATATTAGGAATATAGCCATGTGTGTATAGAATATAAAACATATGCAATATGTTTTAAGGGTTAATGAAAGTTATACTTTGCATTGTTGGTCACAGAGCTCTTTGGAAAAAAAAAGTTCTGAGTAGGATCAAGCCTAAGTAAAGGCAAGAAAAAATAATGCAAAAGTAACGAAATGAATTACTCACCATACAAAAAGTAGTTCTAACATCTAAGTATCGAAACTAGTTACTTTTTAGGGAGTAACTCAATATTGTAATGCATTTCAAAAGAAACTTTCCCCAACACTGGTTATTTTGTATTAAAGGCAATGAAAATAACCAATTCCTTGCATAAAATTGAAATGACTGAACCAACACATACAGTCGAAGTCAGAATTGCACATTTTTTTTCAACACATTTCTAAACATAATAGTTTTAATAACTCATTTTCAATAATGGATTTATTTTATCTTTGCCAGATAAATAATATTTGACTAGATATTTTTCCAGACACTTCTATACAGCTTAACGTGACAGTTAAAGCCTTATCTAGGTTAATTAGGTTATCTAGGCAGGTTAGGGTAAATAGGCTAGTTATAGTTCAATGATGGTTTGTTCTATCGAAAAAGATATAGCTTAAAAGGGCTAATAATATTGACCTTAAAATGGTGTTCAAAAAATGTATAAATTAATTGTAAATTATATAATTAAGTTAGAATTAATTTTTCTAGCCAAAATAAAATAAATCAGACTTTCTCTGGAAGAAAAAATATTATCAGACATACTGTGAAAATTTCCTTGCCCTTTTAAACATCATATGGGAAATATTTAAACAAGAAAAAAAATTCAAAGGAGGGCAAATAATTTTGACTTCAGCTGTTGGAGACTGAGAAGAATTCTCATTTTAGGAGAAAATTTCATTTTTTTTTAATGTATCCAGTTTAGTGTAGTCTAATACTATAACCTTAGTCTATCTGTCTTCTCCTTTAACCGGACAGATTTAACCTTAACTTTAACTAGTTAGATGGCATCCGCCATGTTAGGCTGATCATGCATAAAATAAACATTTTAACACCATTTCAGCATAATATTTCATCATTTCAGAATCTCCCCATTCAAAGACTTGATCTTGGAAAGCCGAGAGCCATTACAAACAGACTTTCCTTGTGGTGATTTTGATCACATGATGCGTGTTGTAATTTTTCAAATCCTCCATAAACTCACTCTCACCTCCTCGCCCTCCTTCACAAAGTCTTTTCTGCATATGTGTGCCATGATTCCAGTGGCCAGAGCGTCCCCCATCACGTTCACCATTGTCCTGAAGCGATCCCTAATGGATACAGAGACAGAACCATAGATGAACTCTTATGATGGAAAGCAATTGAACAGAGACAGAATTCCTGTATGCTTAGTTTCTTACAGGGCCCAATCCACTGCGATAATAAGAGTGATGTCATCTGTAGGAAGTCCCACTGAGGTTAACACGATCACCATGGTCACCAGACCAGCCTGCGGAATGCCAGCAGCACCGATACTGGCTGCTGTCGCTGTGATGCTAAGTAAGAATAAAAGTATGTATAAATATGGGATATATCAACGGCAATTCTGAACTTTTTGATTCATTGGCTAATTCGTACGAATTTGTATGATCTATTACATAGAATTTAGTACAATTCACTTATATGACGGTTGGGTTTTAGGGGTGGGGTTTGTTGCCTCAGTTTTAAAAAATCGTACATTTTTTGTACATTTTGACTGAATTTGTACGAATTAGCCACTATATATTGTATAATTATACAACATCTGTCTGGTTCTCGAATCTAATTCAGCCCTTGAATCAGCCTCTTCACTCTTGTGTATTACTCCGCCCACATAGAGTGACAGCAGCTGTTGGACAACATAATGTACTTTTGAAGCTTTTCTAGTCGAGAATGTAGTTGTTTAGATTGCAATTATGCAGTTTATTTATAAGGATAGTGCCTATTTTAAATATTCATAATTTCTGAGAGACAGCGCGTCGGCGGCCATTAGCCTGTCATACTGAGCTGAGCAAAGACGGTTGACACTCCACCACAAGATGGCAACAGAGACCCATTAATGAGTCCTCAAGGGAGAAAAACCGCATTTTCTCAGAGTAAGTTTCAAACTACAGCGGATCGAATCATTATAAAACAAGGAAGTGACTTTCTAAGTCGATCTCTCTCTTTTGCATGTTGTAGTGCTGTATTTATACCATAGTAAACTGGTAGTGTTTGCTTTGCTTTGGCTTTTTTGGTGTTCATTTTTGTGATCTCCCGATTGCAACAGAGAAATACTGGAAAATCACTATAAATTGATGGCATTTCATGCCGTTCAGCCACATAATCTTAAAATTTTTGTTGTTTTGTCATCACTTTAGACATTATGCTAGAGAATCATTCAAACACTAGCTCTAAAGTGACGTGTGTGAAGTAGTAACGGTTTTTGCTGTTGAATTATGACCATTATGGCTCGTTTCCACTGACTGGTACAGTACATTACGGTTCGAGTCGGTACGGGTCACCTTTATCAGACTTGTGTTTCCACTACCAAGGGTACCCTTTTGGTGGGTGTGGTGTATGACAGACAGTTTCAGTCGACGTCATGCTCGCTCGAATAAATGTCTACAGTAAAGCTGTACGGGTCGCTTACATACTATTGGGCTGGTGGCTCTCACCTTCACTCATCAGCGCTACCAAGCCAACCAATCACAGAGCTTGCACTATGCGTCATTGCGACGTGTAGTTAAGCAAGTCATTGTATAGGCAAGTCATTGTATAACAGTAGTTTCTTCTGCAGACAATTAAAAAATATATTGCTTAAGAATGCTAATATTACAGACCTTGAAATGAGTTTCAAAATATTTAAACCTGCTTTTATTCTAGCCAAAATAAAACAAATAAGCCTTTCTTCAGAAGAAAAAATATTAGAGGAAATACTGTTAAAATTGCTTGCTCTGTTAAACATCATTTGGGAAATAGTTTTTTTTTTTTTAATTCTCAGGAGCGCAAATAATTGTGGCTTCAACTGATAATCGTTTTGCATAATCGTGATTACAATTATGACCAAAATAATCGCGATTATGATTTTTAGCAAAATCGAGCAGCCCTATAATGAACGTGAGATTTTGCTGTCGGAGGTGGAAACCAGAGAAAAAATTTAATAAGAACTTTTCTGGGAAATTTAAAGCGACTGCCCAGGTTAAAAAATTTTTTTAAAAAGTGCACTAAAATGCACTTTATTTAAGTATACTTACTACACTTTTCAGTAATGTACTAAATTTGTACTTAATGTACTAAAAGATAGTATTAAGTATATGTTAAGATAAACTTAATACCATCTAAGTGTACTCAACTGTGCTATTTTGAGACACCCTGTAATTGAGCTACAATGTGGTTTTAACATACTATATCTGTATTTTAAATATATATATATATATATATATATATATATATATATATATATATATATATATATATATATATATATATATATATATTTATATTTAGTTACAACTAGAAATACACTTGAACCCTACCTTTAAACATTTAAATATATTTATGACTAATTTAAAGTATAATAGTAATATATTAAAAGAATATACAAATTGTTTTAAAAAAAAGTGTGCTAAATACTGTATTAAAAGTATTTTGGGAAGATGTACTTCTACAATACATTTCTAATAGATTTTTAATAAAGTCAATTTAATGTAAACTTAAAATTACCAAACTTAAAACCAATTTAAGTGTTAGTGATAATAATGCATTCACATTAAGTGTACTTGAGTACAACTTTTGGGAAAATGTACTTCTACTAAAATACATTACTAATAGATATTTTATATATTAACTTATTTTAAACTTAGGATTAGTATGTAAACAGTGTACTAAAAATCAACTAATGTTTAAAGCATTTAAAGCACACTTTTGAAAAACACACTAATAAAACTCTTTTGGATGTTTTTCCTGTAGTGTACTTTATTTTAGTACACTAAAAATTTATTTAAGTATCACTGGTATTTAGTATACTTTTGTCAAGTGTACTAAAGTCCTACTGAAGTATAAACATACTTTAAATTAATATATTTATTGTGTAAAACCATCAAACTTTTATTTTACACAAAAAAATAACAATGTACTAAAAATGTATTTGCGGGTATTTAAGTGTGTGTGTTTAATTGCATTTAATTATATATATTTTTCACCTGGGTGAACAGCCATTGGTCACGTTCAGCAAACATATCTGTGTGGTCATTAATTTATGATGTATCTGTCTGGTATTTTATGATTATTTTCATTATTTTTTGTCTTTAGAGCGCACAATGCAATGTCTTCAAATAGTACTAATGATCAGGGGGGATTGTTGTTAGCATCAGTACTATCAATTTTTTATGTCTATTCACCCTGTAAATAAAATATCTAATTATATGTAGAGCTCTTTAGACAAGCTTATAAGGCCCTAGGTCTATCTGATTATTGTATTCTTGAATTTTTTCATTTAGAATAAAATTTTGTGAAAGTTTTTTTCAATTAATCATGATTTATTCCCCCACAAAAAAATTGTGCTTCTGCATTTTTTGCAAATTTGACATATTTACTAATTATTTTGATGATTGAACTATAAAACGTCACCGTAACCTACAACATTTGCTGTTCCCCTACCTGATAGTGATGATCTGACCAAAGTCCAGCTCGTAGTTGTTGACTTGAGCGATAAATATGGCCGCCACAGCTTCATATAGTGCAGTCCCGTCCATGTTGATGGTGGCACCGACAGGAAGTACAAAGCGGATGATGCGGCGGTCGATGTGGTTGTTCTCTAGGAGGCACTTAAAGGTGATAGGCAGCGTGGCAGAGCTGTGAACACAAGAATGGGGAAAATTCTGGGTTAGTTTTGTGCTATTGTGAAGTTGTTTGTTTAATATGCGTTGTATTCTGTTTTTGAATGTTTCTGTTGAGGACTTTTATTTTGGTGTTGTGTCCTCTGCGGAAGAGGGTTATATGTGTGTTTGAAAAAAAAGAGCAGGTAGTGTGTGCCAGGCTAGGAGACTCGTGTCACTCTCCTCCCCAGTTCTTGGAGTTTTTGCTCAATAAAATAGTTAGTCAACAGGATTTTCAAGTCCATCGTCTTTATTTACATTCACCCACTGCCAGTCAAAATCCATCCATTCCCTACTGAAAATACCAGCTTTGGCTGGTTTTAGCTGGTTGGCCATTTCCAGCCTGGTCTTAGCTGGTCAGGCTGGGAGATGACCAGATAAAACCAGCTTGACCAGCCTAGCCATGCTGGGTGCCCAGCCAAAACCAGCTATCTCCAGCTTAAACCAGCCTGGTTTTAGCTGGATGTAGCTGGTCATTTTCCAGCCTGACCAGCTAAGACCAGGTTGGAAATAACTGGAAACCAGTCTGCCCTACTAAAAAAAACTGCCTAAACCAGCCTAAGCTGGTTGGCTGGTTTTAGCTGGTTGACCAGGCTGGTTTTAGAGGGGTTTTGGCAATTTCCAGGCTGGTTTCCAGCCATTTCCAGCCTGGTCTTAGCTGGTCAGGCTGGGAGATGACCAGCTAAAACCAGCTTGACCAGCCTAGCCATGCTGGGTGCCCAGCCAAAACCAGGCTGGTTTAAGCTGGATTTAGCTGGTCATTTTCCAGCAAGACCAGGCTGGAAATGTTTGGAAACCAGTCCGGAAGTGTCCAAAACCCCTCTAAAACCAGGCTGGTTAACCAGCTAAAACCAGCCAACCAGCCTAGGCTGGTTTTAGCTGGATGTTTCAGCAGGGTTTTCAGTTCAAATAGTGAAGTGGCTGGAATACACTACAGCTTTGGCTAAGATTCATTGCCCTGTTTTGCAGCTTTGAAGATTTCATATCTGGGCAGCCAGAGAATATGATTTCTGCAGACTCTGGCTCATGCGAGTTCTCTGGAGTCCCCAGAATGTGCAGTTTCAGCTTAAAATGTCCCACAGATTATGATTATTATGAATAAACATGGACTAATGCAGATTGCGAGTGAGTTCAGGATAAAACTAAACACGCAGCGTTTAAAATACACAACCAATATGAAGACATTGGGCTCTATTTTAATGATCCAAGCATAGGTCTAATGCAGTGGTGCCCAAACATGGTCCTGGAAGGCCGGTGTCCTGCATATTTTAGTTCCAACCCCAATTAAATACACCTGGACCAGCTAATCAAGCTCTTTCTAGGTAACTGAAACTTCCAAGCAGGTGTGTTGAAGGAAGTTGGAGCTAAATTATGCAGGACACCGGCCCTCCAGGACCGAGTTTTGACACCGCTGGTCTAAAGCATAAGGCAGCTGCACTTAGGGCATGTCTGAATCCAATTTTGCTATTTTAAGGACTGGAAAAACTGTCAGTGCACCCAGCGCATTGTCTAAACGTGTTATCCTTATTTTCTCAAGGAGTTGTGTTTGGGTAAATTGTTCATTAAACCAATCAGAGTCTCATCTCCCATTACCTCTAAGAGCAAGGGGTTCCATGGTGTATTTGCTATTTAATAGTGAATATTGCATCTGACTCCCATGAGCTTGGAGGACTGCATCCACACATCTCTGCAATGACTCAAATCACTTATTAATAAAATCATCTGGAATGATAAAGCATTTTTGCAGTACTCCCAGAGTTCATCAAGATTCTGTGGATTCATCTTTAATGCCTCCTCCATCTTACCTCAAACATGCTTAATAATGTTCATGTCTGGTGACTGGGCTGGCCAATCCTGGAGCACCTTGACCTTCTTTGCTTTCAGGAACTTTGATGTGGAGGCTGAAGTATGAGAAGGAGCGCTATCCTGCTGAAGAATTTGCCCTCTACTGTGCTTTGTAATGTAATGGGCAGCACAAATGTCTTGATACCTCAGGCTGATGATGTTGCCGTCCACTCTGCAGATCTCTCGCACACCCCCATACTGAATGTAACCCCAAACCATGATTTTTCCTTCACCAAACTTGACTGATTTCTATGAGAATCTTGGGTCCATGTGGGTTCCAGTAGGTCTTCTGCAGTATTTGTGATGATTGGGATGCGGATCAACAGATGACTCATCAGAAAAACCGAACTTCTAACACTTTTCCAACTGATCAACTAGAAGTCGAGATATTATTTGTTGCTTTTACAACTGGGATCGACACCAAGACTTTTGTCAGGTAGTGTAGATAGAAAAAAACACTTAATTTAGTGGAGGAACTTTGTTTCTTTGCAGATCTTATACATACACAAACCACAGACCTTAAATGTTTAATACTACTACTAATAATAGACCCCATTTCCTAAAGTTCACGAGTATTTTAGTGTGTGATTTGCACACTTTTTTTGCGTGTGATGATTAATGTAATGAATTATAGCAAGTGCATGATGCAGAGGGTTTCAACTCTGTTAAAAAAATCCCATAGTGTTTTCTAGCCCTTAGTTTATGATCTAGTAGGCTCTTGTTCAAAATACGTTTGCCGTTTACTACATTCAGGTTAATGTTACCTTGATGAAGTAGCTAATGAGATGAGCAGGGCCTGTAAAATCCCTCGGATGTAGACGATGGGGCTTTTTTTGGTGATGAAAAAGTACATGGAAGGCAGGATGAACAAGCCATGAAGCACCAGCCCCATGACCACAGTGATGGCGTAGAAGCCCAGCTTCTTCCCCATGGCTGAAGGGTCGTCCATTTCCAAGATCTTTCCAGCCACCAGAAACACAATGCCAAACGGGAAGTACCTGTGTTACATTAGAAATAAGCAGCATTTTTAGAGAAATTAGAAAAAGATTCATACTAAGTAGTACTGTGTTTGAAACAACAAATATTTGGAACAACAATATCATTCAGTCATTCATTTTCCTTCAGCTTATTTCCTTATTTATCAGGGGTCGCCACAGCGGAATGAACCAACAACTATTCAAGCATATGTTTTATGCAGCAGATGTCGATCCAGCTACAACCCAGTGCTGGAAAAGACAACAACATAAAAGTTTCAGTTAAATAAAACGGAAATAATTTGTTTTATACACTCCCCACCCACTTTATTAACCACACTTGTAACTGTAAGTTTGTAAACGTAAAGTTCTTGTGAACTGGAAGTTGCTGCAGACTTTTATTCCTGTATAATAATGTATTTCCAACTAAAATGGAATATCAAGTAGGTTCCCTGCTGAAAAATCCAGCTTAAACCAGCCTAAGCTGGTTGGCTGGTTTTAGCTGGTTGACCAGGCTGGTTTTAGAGGGGTTTTGGCCACTTCCAGGCTGGTTTCCAGCCTGGTCTTAGCTGGTCAGGCTGGGAAATGACCAGCTAAAACCAGCTTGACCAGCCTAGCCAAGCTGGGAGTCCAGTCAAAACCAGCTAAATCCAGCTTAAACCAGGCTGGTCAAGCTGGTTTTAGCTGGATTTGGCTGGTAATTTTCCAGCCTGACCAGCTAAGAGCAGGCTGGAAATAGCTGGAAACCAGCCTGAAAATGGCCAAAACCCCTCTAAAACCAGCCTGGTCGACCAGCTAAAACCAGCTAACCAGCCTAGGCTGGCTTAAGCTGGATTTTTCAGCAGGGTTATCAAAGAGGTTTTATTTATTTATTCTTTTAACATTCTTTATTGTATTTTTTACATCAGTACAAATTATAACTTTTACATATGTGTACTTTTTTTTCCTTTTAAACACAAAGTTGTAACATCCTGTTACTATTATATGTATAAGAGAACTAAAAAACAGTGAAATGTGGGAGGGAAGAACAAAAAAAACAGAAAGAAGAAAAAAATTAAATAAATAAAATCAAATAAATAAATAAAAGAACTAAATAAGGCGGGATATTTGAAGTGTTTTTACTAGGGGTCGATCACTGCTCTCTTGTTAAAGTATTCAATAAATGGATTCCATATTACATGGAAATTCTTTGTTTTATTTTTTAGGGAAAGTCTTAGCTTCTCAAGTTGCAGACAGGACATGACATCTTTTAATAATGTGGAACAACGTGGAGGATCTTTTCGTTTCCAATTTAGTAAAATCAATAAACGTGCCAAAAGGGTTATAAATCTAATCACTGTACGTTGTTTATTAGAATGAGGTTTTATTTTTGCGCTCTACCTTTCATCTTTTACTAGCAGCAAACTAATGGTTGGAGGGGCGTGGCTAAGAATATTTCGCCCAATCCGTCAAACTGACATAATTAGAAAAGGACTGCTTTTCCAAAACGAAAGCAGATAGTCATATAATGATTAAAGTCCATCAAAACAAACAGCTTTATTAACATTCACAGATTAATTGTTCACCTTAATGCTGTGTTTACACCAAACGTGGCAAGTGCAGGTAAATCTCGATATTTGAGCGTAAATAGATGTGTGAACATTTTAAGTTTACTCACTTCATTCGTGCGTAAAATTCACTTGAAAAAAGATGCGGATTTGCATCATGCGCAGGATTTCGCTCTGCCTGGTCACTCTAGCTTCGAAGCTAAATGGCTAACTTAGATTTTATTGAGATAGTAGCTGTGTTTATGTGCTTTAGGAAGGCTGAAAAACAGGGTAGATTTGTTCGTTGCCATGTCGCTTTTATAATTAGTACTGTGTCATTTACGCCGCCTCATTCTTGCGTGTAGCGCCGCAGGATGTCTATTCGCTTCTTTGCATTGACTTCACATGTAAATCACCTGCGACTGACGCTTGATCTGTGTCTGGTGTGAACGCAGCATAACACTAACAATGTGCACCAGCAAAATAAACACTGCAAATTTGAATATTATGTGGACGATGACAATCTAATTTAATCTAATTCAAAGTGCAAACATTTAGACGTTATAACACTATGATTGACTAAAAACCTCTGCAGATACTATTTTCTACACTCTCAAAAACAAAGGAACGAGAGCGGTCATTGGGTCGGTGCCTTTACAAAAGGTACACTTTTATAATTTTTTCAAATTTAAAGATGTTTGTGTGCTGCTGTGCATCCCTGTGTGTGTAATAAGAACACCAGAACATTAGAGGAGACTCCAAAACCTGAAATGAATGGGTCAGATAAGAGAGACGTCCAAGATATGTACTGTTGGTGTGCCTCCAGAAACAGGTTTGGGAAACACTGATATAGTACCATGACATAGTACACACCATAGTACTCTATGACAGTTCTGGAAGCAGGCGTGACTAATTAGTTAACTAGTTACATTGTAAAAAATTTTAATTTAACCTAACTTTAGATACAATATGGATAGCATAAGGCTGGGTCATTTTTCTTTAGCCCAAAATAAACCCAGTTTTTGGGTTTGTCCATATTTTACCCAAATATGGGTTGAAATCACCTTTAGTTTCTTTAAACGGCATTGCTCTGTGGTTGTTAACCAACGATCTATCCAATCACATGATCTGATTTGTTATACATCACGGAATTTATTTGATTAATGTGTTTCAGGGTAGTATATTAATTGACTATTTATTGTATATTTATTGTATATTAATTATTGTAGTATCGTAAATCACATTTTAAAGTCCATGTGAGACTGTTGAGAATGTATTTCAATATGTTGGTGTAGTTCCAACTGAAAAAAATGAGTTTTTACCATATAACAATGGCCACGATTTTCAGCACGGCTTCATTCAGACTCTGGCAGAAGTTGACGAGGGCGCTGCCATTTGGTCCCATTCGTCCAAGCATGATCCCTAAACGACAGGAATTTGATTATTTAAAAAAACAATCTGTATAAGCCTGAGCAACTCCAGCCGACGCTGATGCTACAACTCACCCATGGTAGCAGAGAAGATCACGATACCCAAGACATTCATGCCCTCGCTGGTGCCAGGCAGCGTCCGGAAGACCACATCCGGAGGAGGCGTCAGGTCCAGGGAGAAGTTCTGTATGTCTGTGCCATTGTCGTCCTGGATCCCATAAATGAAGACCCGTTTGGTGGTGGTCTCCAGGATGTCCTGACTGATGGTGGGTTTGGGCTTCATGATAGGGATGCTCCTTGTGCGATACTACAATTCGATTAAGATGAAAAATATAAATCAACTCGCTACAGAATTCTCAGTAAAGCAAAGCAACATAAAAATAAAGGTATACAGAGCACATTTAGGGTTAAAAAACACATTACAACTCACTTCTCAGTTAAACAGTCGCGTTTTACCATTTTTGAATCTATTCAGCTGATCTCCAGGGGCCTCATGTATCAACGCTGCGTACGGACAAAAACTTTGCGTACGCCAGGTTTCACGCTCAAAATCGCTCTCGTTTGGATTTACTAACAATGAACTGAACGTGGGAATGTGCGCAGCTCCATGCCAGCTTTGTGGCAGGCGTACGCACATTTTTTGTGCGTGTCTGTTTTATTTCCATTGGCGACTCCTAGAGGCAGTTGTGTTAAATTGCACTCTACAAAGTGTCTTTGAGGCTTGCAATGGCAGCTGTATGAGACGGGTTCATCTAGCAGGTATATAAGGTTTCCATACCATGCAGTTGACCAGCTAAACATTAAAGCACAATTTGCAGCGGTCGCCTGTTTTCCCAATGTAATCTGAGCGATCTACTGCACACATTGCTATAAAGACACTATCTGAAGATGAATTTGCATACGTGAATCAGAAACATTTCCATTCAATAATTGTGCAAATAAAATATGATGCGCAGACTTATTGATGATTCCTACTTGTCTTTCTCGTGATAAATAGTTGGCAAAATCTGATATGTAGCGGGGAAAAAAAAAAGAAAGAGTTCATAAGACGCTGGATTCGAACCGAGTTCATGCTCGAACATGTCAAAACATGTTGACATGCGCCTTACGAGCTGCGCCACTGAGACTGTTAAGGGTGTGGCAACATTTTACACATATAAATCACACTATTTCTTTTCTAATTCACTCAGTGCGATGTTCAGACCCAACTATGTTAACCGCATCAGCTAAACTCTCCCACTTTATTTTTTCTTTTGTTGTAAATTCCGGAGAACAAACTTGCAAATAACACCGCTTTTCTCCGGTCTACCTCCGAAAGGAGCACCTACAATTCACATTCTGTTCAAAGTTTCTCTTCTTGCTTGCTTTTGCCTTCGCTTTTTTGTTGGGTTTTGCCAAAGTAGAGTCATTTGCATATTCATACGGGGGAGGAGGCAGGGAGGGGTTTTGTGCTCGTGCATGTTGCGCTCAGTTTCATGTTCATTCAGATGTACAAAAGAATATGCGTGAGATTCGGCGTACGCAGTGTTTCATACATCTGAATTTTTTTCTGCGTACGCACATTTACAGCTTTGTGCGTACGCAATGTTTTAGTATGATTTCCACGCAAGTCTTCGTACATGAGGCCCCAGGTCTGGGGGGAGCACTTTTAGCTTAGCCTCGCATAGATCATTGAATCGGATTAGACCGTTAGCATCTAGCTCAAAAATGATCAAAGAATTTAGATAATTTTCCTATTTTAAGCTAGGCTCTTCCATAGTTAACTCTTCTTGACTGTTCTGTGAGATGCTAATGGTCACACTTTATTTTGATGGTCTGTTTGTTGAATTTAAGTTAAATTGCATCTCATCCCATAATTAAATAATTAATACCTAATTCTCATTAGGTTATAAGTAGACTGTTAGGGCGTACTCACACTATGCTGTCCGAACTGTGCCCAGATCTGTTTCCCGGATCGTTTGAGAAGTGTGAGTGCTCCGAATCGGGCTCAGGCGCGTTTCACTTGACTGGCCCTGGCCCAGTTGGAAGAGGTGTGCCAGAACGCGGTTGCATTTGGGCTTTAGCGCGGTACGGTTGTGTGTGTGATTGCAAAGCGCGCCAGCGCCTGAAACTGAAGACGAGACGTGACTTTTAAGGGACTGTTTCATATGTATTTATTAATCATTCTTACTGTTTAAACAATGCAAACTGTCATAGATTAATAAAGACGCAAACCCCTCACTGCACGACAGCTGCACCTTTAGCAACCCTCCTAATTGCTGCAGCACGAGGACTTTATGTTTGTTTATGAGCGTCAAAAGTGGCAGAAATATTTGACTCTGTCACTGCATATCAAACGACTAAAACAATATAACTAAAGAAATCTCCACTGAGCCTAGCAAAAGCGCTTACTGAACAGCGCATTATTAATAACGTAAGCATGCTCAGGACCAAATATAATGTGAGCGCAAGCCGTCGGGGGAGATTGGAGGGGGGACAAGCGTGCTTTGGCTCGGTTCAAGGCAACTGTACATAGTGTGAGTACGCCCTTAGATTGGGGTTAGGGTTAGGGTAAGGGTTAGTGTAAGTTAATATGTACTCGGAAAGTTTCTTATAGTCAGTTAAATGCCTGTTGAAGGAGCATATCAACAGACAATAAGCAGACAGTCTACTAAACTCAAATAGACCATCAAAGTAAAGTGTCACCAAATGTTATTATATTTATATATATTTATTATTATAAGATGGTACATATTTACATATAAAGTGTATTTATTGAAGTTTATTAAGTACATTTAGGCACAAAACATGATTAAGTATTTTGACATTTGTATTGAATTCTGTCTGAATTGTATTTGGTATTGAAATCTGTCAAAGATTTAATCTTAATTGATTAAATATAGTGTGTCAGAAAATATCATCAATACTGTAAAAAGGTTATTTAAAAATAATTAACAGTGTCCCGTAGTTTGTGCTTCATGGGTTTAACATTTTCAAAATAAAAAAGTTAATGGAACAAAAAATAATGCATATTATTAATGCACTTTGTAAGAGAAAATAAACAAAAAACTCCTGTCAATCACAGGGTATGGGCAACTGAATAGATTTATTAATAGTGTAAATGTAAAACCACTGACTGATAAGCAGGTTTACAACCTAAATATCCTAAAAATAGCTTTTTTTTATGTGTGAATGTGTATATTATAAAAGGACCGTTTTGGAGGCAGAGTAAAGATCATTCATATTTTTCAATATGTTTTTTTCCAGTCAAACATTTCAAGCATTGCAGATAAAATATAGAGGAAAACACAAAAACTCACTTGTTGAAATGTTGCTTGAACCAAGTTGGCTGGGAACATGTTGCTAATGGAGGCAAGAAAACATATTTGTATTTAATACACAGATTATTTTCCAACCTGCTGACAATATCAACTTTAACCAGAATTCATTTATATATTGGTACAAGCCAAGCTGCTTTAATATCAGGTAGAGACGTTGCTGGTTGAACTAGTTATGTTAAAGGAAAGCAGACAAATCTATTTACATTTCAGTTAGATAAAATGAATGAAAACATGTTAAATAATAATAACAACAACATCATGTAAATGCAGCAAAATACAAAAGATAAACGCTACACTTAAAGAGATAGTTCACCCAAAAATGAAAATTAACTCATCCTTATCTGGTTCCAAGTCTTTATAAGATTCGTTCATTTGTATAAGAGTAATGAAGATATTTCAAAGATTTACATGATCATTTTTGGGTGAACTATCCCTTTAAAAGCAAGTAAACCATAAAGGTTATCAACCAAGGCTCATTCTGAAAACGTTCCCCTATATAAATTTCTGGAGAGCGGCAAATATGTCCCAGGAGCTATGTTTTTCTTTTTGCAGTTTTTGCTTTCGCGAATCCACTAGAGGCCGCTGTGTATGCTTTTTCAGATCTTACATTTCTCCCACGAGTGCCACTTACTCCTGCTATTCTCGTGTAAATCCACCATCTCCAGAAATGTATATAGGGGTATATTTTCAAAATGAGCCTATGTCGAAGGGTATGGTGTCAAAATGACATTTTGGGTTTCACACACAAGTGGATTGAACATAAAATAAGCTGTCCCAAAAAAAAAAAAACTCTTGAGAATTGTGTTGATTCCACTTATTTTAAATTAGTTTGAACAAGTAGCAAAAATCTTTTTTTGAGTGTACAGGAATTGTATAATTATAGTTAGCTTCTGTCCCATCACCAGCAAAATGCAGTATATTAGGTCATAGCTAATGTGCACATTGTAACACAAACAAATTTGAAAATAAATTAGTAAATAAACAAGTAAATAAATAAATAAGCAAAAAATAAATAAGTAAATAAATAAAAATAATAAAATAAATATATAAATACAGAAAAAATAAGTAAATAAATAAGTAAATAAATAAATAAATACATAAAAATAGGTAAATAAATAAGTAAATAAGTAAATAAATAAATAAGCAAGAAAATAAATAAGTAAATAAATACATAAAATAAGATAAATAATAAATAAAATAGTAAATATGTAAATAAATAAGTAAATAAATAAGCAAATAAACAAATAAGTAAATAAATAAAATAGTAAATAAATAAGTAAATAAATAAATAAGTATTTCCCAGAGATGGGTTGCGGCTGGAAGGGCATCCGCTGCGTAAAAACTTGCTGGATAAGTTGGCGGTTCATTCCACTGTGGCGACCCCAGATTAATAAAGGGACTAAGCCGACAAGAAAATGCATGAATGAATGAATGAATAAATAAGCAAATTAATAAATAAGTAAATAAATAAATAAGCAAGTAAATAAATAAGTAAATAAATAAATATGTAAATAAATAAAATACAAAAAAATAAGTACATAAATATGTAAATAAATATATAAACAAATAAATAAGCAAGTAAATAAACAAGCAAATAAATAAATAAGTAAATAAATAAATAAATAAATAAATAAATAAATAAATAAGCAAGTAAATCTCAAGTTCATGATGTACATGTCATGCTACCGAACAAACTGGTAACAGCGGTAAAGCCGTCTTTACAGAGGTAAGTTGTCAGGTGGTAAGCGAGAAAAGGAATGGCATCATACCGCCCCTTTTAAAGACAACATGCAGCCATACGTACTACTGGCTACATAATTTGCGTGCTCCAGAAATGTATACAGGGGTTTATTTTCAGAATGAGCCTATGTCAAAGGGTATGGTGTCAAAATGCCATTTTAGGTTTGCTGTAAAACATTTCGGGTTCCACACACAAGTGGATTGAACATGAAACAAGTTGTCCCAAAAAAAGAAAACTCTCAACAATTGTGTTGAGTCAGCATATTTTAAATACGTAGCTTGAACAAGTAGCAAAAATCTTTTTTTAATGTGTTCAGCAGTTATTTCAGCAGTATATTTATAGTTAGCTTCTGTCCCATCACCAGCAAAATGCGGTAAATTAGCTCATTGCTAATGTGTGCACATTGTCACACAAACACAGTCCACTAATCCTAATCTGACTGTCTCGTTTTGCTGATAAACAAATGGTCACATTGGCAATCTGACTAGCCTCTTAGTGAAGGGTGCAAACATCACATGCTCATTTGGTACTGCTAATTCTTCCTGTCTTGAGACTTTCATCATGAATCGCAGCATTATTAAGCTGAGCTATAAGCTTGTGACTCTATGTAAATAGTTTCCTCCTCTTTCATCACCTCGATCGGAGCCATATGGCCTCAGGCTCAGGTCAGTAATCAGTTTAGGCTCCAGTCTTCACCATACACTCCAATGACATTGGGTCACTCTGTCATGCAGCACTGCAGGCGACAGGTGGGCCAGCGATTCTTTGTTCCTTAGTCCTTAGCCAACCCTAAACTGAGCCATGTCTAAGCTCTCCTGATCCCTCAACATCACGGCCACTCCACTCGAACATCTCCACAGAAAATCAAGCTGAAATAATGTCATTATACTTTTCAATAACAATTTTCAATTTATAGTATGGTGAGGGATACATGAGTATACATGAGGGAAATAAGTGCACCTTAAGGATAGTTAATACTTCGGCGTCGAGTGATCAGCATGATCCATGGTGCCTGCCTTGTGTGTAGTCGTGCATTTATACAGTACTTCTGCATGTTGTTTGTGTTGCTCTTCCGGAACGCTAGCTGGCAGTAGGTTTTTATGTTCTTCAGTGTCAGGTTTTATTGGGGGTGTTTTGCTTTGTCTGAATGCTACCTTAATGTACAAATAGCTCCAACTCGCATATTCTGAGGCAGGAGCTGGTGGACGACTTTAATCATAAGGTAAACACAAAACAAAAGTTGCTATCTGGAGCTTACTAATGGGACTCGACGCTTGTAAACACTCGCTCCATCGGGCTCGCGGCTCTCAGCACCACCCATGCTCATCACAGCTACCAAGCTGACCAATAACAAAGTTTGCGATATGTGCACATGCAATGTGTAGTTACATCTTTTTTGAGAGGTGTGCATCAGAGTTGGCGTTAGCGATGGTTAACTGAAACCTGTACAATACTGACTGAGAGCAACTAACTAACTAACTAACTAACTAATAAATAAATAAGTTAATAAATAAATCAGTAAATAAGTAAATGAATAAAAAAGTAAATAAATAAGCAAATAAGTAAATAAATAAATAAGTAAATAAATAGATACATAACTAAATTAATAATTAAGTAAAACATTTGCAAATAAATAAATAAATAAGTAAATAAGCAAGTAAACAAATAAGTAAATAAATAAATATGTAACTACATAAATAAGTAAATAAATAGATAAATAACTAAGTTAATAATTAAGTAAAAATTTGCAAATAAATAAGTAAATAAATAAATAAATAATTAAGTAAATAAGCAAGTAAGTAAATAAGTAAATAAATAAATAGGTAAATGAATAAGCAAGTAAATCAATACATTAGTAGATAAATACATAAATGAGTAAATAAAAAAGTAAATAAATAATTAAATTAATTAATAAATAAGTAAATAGATAAATATGTAAATACATAGTAAATAAGTATATAAATAATTAAATAAATAAATAAATAAATAAATTAGTAAATATATAAATAAGTAGATAAATGAATAAGTAAATGAATAAGTAAATAAATCAATCAATAAATAAGTAAGTATATGAATAAATAAATAAATAAATAAGTAAATAAATGAATAAGTAAATAAAAAATAAATTATTAAATGACTAAATAAATAAGTAAATAAATTAATAAGTAAATAAAAAAATAAATCAGTAAATGAGTAAATAAATAAATAAGTAAAAAATAAATACATAAATAAATAGGTAAACAAATAAATAAATTATAAATAAATAAATAAATAAATGAATAAATAAGTAAATAAATGAATAAGTAAATAGAAAATAAATTATTAAATGAGTAAACAAATAAAGTAAAGAAATAAACAAATAAGTAAATAAATAAGCAAGTAAATAAATAAACAAGTAAATATATAAGTAAATAAGTACATAAATAAATAAGTAAACAAGTAATTAAATAGGTAGATTAATACACAAAAGAATAAATAAATAATTAAGTAATTAAGTAAGTAATTAAAAAAGTAAGTAAGTAAGCAAGCAAGCAAGCAAATACATAAATAAATAAATAAATAAATAAATAAATAAATAAATAAATAAATAAATAAATACCCACCAACAGTTAAGAATGGAGGTCAATATTTTAAGATCTGGGGCTATTTTCCCATTTCTGACCTGTACAAACTACACATCAACATTAACAGGGGTTGGACAATCAAGATGAAACATTGGCCAAATTAGTGTTGGAGGTTTCATGACTAAATTTGAGCAACTGGTGGCCAATCTTCATTGATTGCACACTCCACCAGTAAGAGCAGAGTGTGAAGGTTTCATTAGCAGAGTAATAGCACTCTTTGCTTAAAGTATTGCTATGCACACAACATTTTGGGTTACATATCAGAGTTCAAAAGAGAACAAATTGTTGGTGCGTGTTTCGCTGGCACATCTATGACCAAGACCGCAAGTCTTTGTAAAGAGTCAAGAGCCACGGTATCCAGAGTAAACCACCAAAAAGTATGAACCACATCCTACAGGAGTTATTATGGATGCAAGAGAAAGCTGTCTGAAAAGGATGTCCGGTGCCAACCCGGATTGTATCCAAACAACAAACCACAGCTGCCCAACTAACTCCAGAATTGAATGTGCACCTCATGTCTCCTTACTCCACCGAACTGTTCGTCTGGAGCTCCACGAGGTCAATATACATGGCTGGGCTGCTACAGCCAAACCTTTGGTCACTCGTGCAATGCCAAATGTTAGCTTCAGTGGTGCCCACATTGAAAATTTTGGGCTGTGGACAATGTGAAAGATGTATTGTTCTCTGACGAGTCCTCCTTTACTGACTTCCCTACATCCTGGAGAGTTGCATGCCCAGAGTGAAGCATGGGTGTGATCAGTGAAGGTTTAGGCTGCAATATAATGGCAATCCCTAAGCCCAATTCTTGTGCTTGATAGGCAAGTCACTGCCAAGGACTACAGAACCATTCTGGAGGACCATGTACACCCAATGGTTCAAACATTGGCAGTGCCATGTATCAGGACGATAATGCACCAATACACACAGCAAGGCTGGTGACAAAATAGTTTGATGAACATGAAAGTGAAGTTGAACATCTCCCATGGCCTGCACACTCACCAGATGTAAATATTATTAAGCCAATTTGGAGTGTTTTGGAGAAGCGAGTCAGCCCTATACTAAAGATTTTTTTGTGGTCTAAAACCAGGTGTTTCAGTTTCATTGTTCAACCTCTGAATTTTAAATGACGAACTTACCAATTAAATTAATCATGGAACTAACTAACTAACTAACTAACTAACTAACTAACTAACTAACTAACTAACTAACTAACTAACTAACTAACTAACTAACTAACTAACTAACTAACTAACTAACTAGCTAACTAACTAACTAACTAACTAAGTAAAATCTGAGGTTGTCTTTCCATTATTTTCCTATTAGGATAACACACCTTTACCAATAGTAAGCATGGAGGTAGGGACATTGAGATCTTATTTTGTCTTTCCATTCTTCACCTATAAAGACTACACACTAACTAACTAATGCTATCTCATTATTTGTTATGGTCAAGTATGGTGGTAGGTATGTCAAAAGAATGTCAAGCTATATCGTCCTTTCCTTTTGAACAACTTACTAACAAGCAAACAAACAACAGTTAAGCATGGTGGAAATAATATACAGATCCAGGACTGCCATTCCTGTTTTGATACGGAGGGACTATACATATATTAGCTGAAAAAAAAAGGTTAGCAGCCCTGCCCCTCGTCAGTGTAAATGAATATTAATAATAATAAGAAGAATTCCTTACATTATATAGCTCTTTTCTGGGCACTTAAAGCGCTTTACACATAGGGGGGAATCTCCTCATCCATCACAAGTGTGCTGCATCCAACTGGATGACGCGATGGCGCAAGACCGCACACCACACACCAGCTGATTGGTGGAGAGGAGACAGAGTGATGAAGCCAATTATGATATGGGGATGGTTAGGAGGCCATGATGGACAGAGGCCAGGATGCCAGGGTTAAACCCCTACTCTTTTTCAAAGGACATCCTGGGATTTTACTTGACCACAAAGAGTCTGGACCTCGGTTTAAAGTCTCATCCGAAAGACAGCGCTCACTGAGCAGTATAGAGTCCCCCGTCACTATACTGGGGCATTAGGACCCACACAGACCACAGGTTAGGCGCCCCCTGCTGGCCTCACTAACACTACTTCCAGCAGCAACCTAGCTACTCCAGGTACTGACCGGGCTCAGCCCTGCTTGGCTTCAGCAAGTGACCATGTGGGAGTTGCAGAGAGCTAGCTGCCGGCTATTATTATATTATCTGCTTCATTCCAACATCTACATTACCAGATGATGATGAAACTGGAGTGCAAATTTCAGCAAGACACTGATTGCAAACACAGACAAGTAAACGCTCAAATATTTTCAGAAAAGAAAAGGAAGCTGTTAGAATGGCCTAGCCAGTCACCTGACCCGAACCCAATAGAAAACTAAAAACCTTTAATACAAAGTATACATTTCAGTAGTTCAGTACTTTCTCCTCGACTCATTATTGGTATTACACTTATTTAGGTTTTCATCTTCTTTTTTTTATTGTTTGGGCTATTATTAAAATATGCAACCCAGGCTCATTCTGAAAACGTAGTCCCGCAGACGTTTCTGGAGACTGAGAATTATGTAGTTGTAGGTACGTATAGCTGCATTTCATTTTTTTAAGCGAATACTATGGGGCGGTATGATACCGTTTCTTTTGGCGCTCACCAGCTGACCGCTTACCTCCGTGTGGAGGGTTTCCCACCACAACCAGTTTGTCCAGTTAGCTCGTCGTTTACGTTGGCAGACTTGAGACGCAGGGAGGAGTTGACCACGACGGTGACCAGTTTCGATTCTAGGAAAGAGCGGTTCCAGAAATCAGGTAAGACAAGGCGGGTCAATCAGTAAAATTGGTTGGGTTTAGAGGAGTAGAGTAGGTCGGTCGATTGGCTGATCGCCCAGTCAATCATTCAGTCGGTCATCAGCAGCCTCTGGTGGGTTTACGCGAGAACAGTGCAGTGTGAATGGCACTCACGAGAGACATTTGAGATGCGAAAAAGCGCACACAGCGGCCTCTCTGCAAAAATACGTACCTTCCGGGACGTATTTCGCGGTCTCCAGAAACGTCCACGGAATTACATTTTCAGAATGAACCTGGGTTGAAAATCTGGGTCAATTTCATATCGACAGCTCCTTTAGAATACCCGCTGTGGAAATTGATTAGTAACTTTACTTAAAGTGAGTAAACATGTTTTAACGTCGAACTGTTAGGTTGACCCAACTTAATTTTTACTTCTTAAACATATCAATTAACTAAAGCTAACAAACAAATAGCTAAGCAACTTCAGTAGTCAAGTAGTAGTTTCTGTAGTAGTCAATCTAGCTATCCTGTTAAGCCCTGTTTGACACAGTAACTGTTTCTGACAATTCCTTGACTAATTGTTCCACTGACCGACTGAAATAGTGACACAGTGTCAGTGGGACAAACTCTGTCCTCGTTTACTCAAGTAAACACTAACTGGCTTACCCTGAGCTTTACTCACGCGGTTTAACCGGCAGTAAACCTGAGCAGGTGAGAAGGCAGCTGGAACCTATTACATTCTATAAGTGAACACAATGAGAGAGCTACAGGCATATTTCTGGCTCACTGAAGACAATATGTACAATAGATTACAATACACTATACAACACAATAGTAAAATACAATAGTAAAATACAATACAATAGTAAAATAAAATTTCATGGCCCTTTTAATGTGTGTTGTGATGTAACAATAGTCATAAGCGACTCAAGTTTTATCAATTCAAATGAGAAGAGGCTTGGACCCAGCAACAGTACTTCATACATCATCACTTCACAAACCAATAGCTGAATAAGTGACACTCAAAAACAACAACAAAAAATAGCCTGGTTTCTTCTACTTAACTGATTGATGGAAAGCAGTTCAATGTCATTTTTTTAATAAACATTAAATCAGGCTTACCGTATGAGGTCTAGAAGGGCATCCGCGGAGCTCATGATGGCCTTCCCGCTGTCCTCAGAGTCCTCCTTCTGCGCAGCTCCACCCGGGTGGATGATGATCACCATGACGATGCCCACCACCACCGCCACAAACGTCGTCCACAGATAGTACGAGATTGTCATGATGCCCAGTCGACTGGAGCACTTGGCGTCGAGTGCTGCCAAACCAGACATCAAACTGGAGAGAAAAAATAACAAGAATTTGCAAAATAAATAAATAAATAAATAAAGGGCAACACTTAATTTGAAAAACAGGTGTTCATAATGAATCCAAGATAAGCGCTGAGCATGGCTGCCGTGTTGCGAGCTCCCAGCTCTTAACACACCCCACACAAACTCTTCCATACCCCTCACTGCAGACCATCAATATGTAGCATGTACTGCACTTTAACCAACTCATACTTAAAATACTGCCTACAACTATGTGTACACCTATTCATTGTACATATCGCTGCCAACACTGCCTAGGCTGCTTTAGCTGGTCGACCAGACTGGTTTTAGAGGGGTTTCCAGCCATTTCCAGCCTGGTCTTAGCTGGTCAGGCTGGGAGATGACCAGCTAAAACCAGCTTGACCAGCTTAAACCAAGCTGGTCCAGCTGGTTTTAACTGGATTTAGCTAGTCATTTTCCAGCCTGACCAGCTAAGACCAGCCTGGAAATGGCCAAAACCCCTCTAAAACCAGTCAACCAGCCTAGGCTGGGTTAAGCTGGATTTTTCAGCAGGGTGTATTTGCACTTATTTGTATTTTGCAGCCACATTTTGTATTGGAGCCACCACCTAAGTTTTTTACTCATTATAGCACACGTGCTGCTGCTGATGTGACGATAAAAGTGATTTGATTTGATAAAGTGTCACAACACCTTTATGATATAGACTTTTTTCTCATTTTCAGGTTCCATTTCAGTCGCCTTAGTTGGGAAAACTTAGAGCACAATGAATGAGAGAGTACAACAAATAAGTTCTTATTTGCTTAAATAATAAAAGGAAAACTCCACGATGGGGTTGTAAAGACTTTCAGAAAAAAGAAACAAATTGTGTGAGGTTGATGACGGCAGTCAGAGGAGAGAACAACATCAAATTTGCTGTCCTGCCCCATAGACAGTGCGTTAGAAATGCCTTGCACAAGACTTAATTCGTTATTTGTACTTTGAAGCAAAGATGATGTAATGCATACAGAAATACATATAAATGTTCATACGTTAAAAAACAAATCTAAATATTAAAAACTTTAAGGATTTAAGATGCTGATGACTGTTAAACGCATCATAACTGTCTTGTGAAAAGGCTCCATTACATTATACACTCACCTGCCACTTTATTAGGTACACCTGTCCAACTGCTCGTGAACGCAAGTTCCTAATCAGCCAATCAAACGGCAGCAACTCAAAGCATTTTGGCATGTGGACATGGTCAAGATGATCTGCTGCAGTTCAAACCGAGCATCAGAATGGAAGATGGGAACGGTGATTTAAGTGACTTTGAACGTGGCATGGTTGTTGGTGTTGGTTCCAGCTGATAGAAGAGCAACAGTAACTCAAATAACCACTCGTAACAACCGAGGTATGCAGAAGAGCATCTCTGAACGCACAACACGTCCAACACAAAACACACCTTCGGGATGTGTCGGAACGGGAGATTCACATCATGAATGTGCAGCCGACAAATCTGCAGCAACTGCGTGATGCTGTCATGTCAATATGGACCAAAATCTCTTAGGAATATTTCCAGCACCTTGTTGAATCTCTGCCACAAAGTATTAAGGCAGTTCTGAAGGCAAAAAGGGGTTCAACCTGGTACTAGTGAGGTGTACCTAATAAAGTGGCCGATGAGTGTATATTGGATTAGTCTATTGGCATAATTTTTTTTTATCCTATTTAAGAGTTGACTCTTCTGTAGTTACAGATTAATAGAGTACTAAGACCAATGCAAAATGAAAATCTTTTTAGGTCTATGCTGCTAGAAATTATACTCTCGTTATGGCATAATAATCAAGAAACTCTGCTGCAATAACTTTTCATTTTCTGCCGGTGTTCTGCCGATTTGTCCTACCTTGTCAGATCGTCCTACCTCCCATTCAAAAAGTAGGTAGCATATTTTGATGACGCAATGATACCCATGATGCAATACCCATCAGATTTTGCTACTAGTGTAAATTTTAATGTGAAGTAGTGCGATATAAAGCTGTAATATCACTCTAACGTACCTAATCATCCCTAACCCTAACCCCAGAACCATTCAAATACAGTGTTAGTAGCACAATCTGATGGGTAGGATAAAATGTCAGTACACTTGTTTTAAAATATGATGTATCTACAGCTTTAAATAGGAACAATTTTTAAACTTGTGGAAAAAGATGCTAATGGTCTAATCCAATCCAATGAATAATGCTAAGCTAAGCCAAAAATGACTCTCACCAAACCCAGAGAGCGACTGAACAGATTCAAAAATGGTAAAACGCAATAGTATCACCCTAAGAAACTTGTAAAATAGTATATCTCCCCCCAAAAAAGTGGTGTGTTCCTTCAGAAATGCTTTATCATTGACAGAGAGCTTTTTCAGCTATTTAAAAAAGTAAAAGGGGGACGGTGAAACATTGCTATGGATTCTCCTTCTATTCATCACATAATTCATTGATTTTCCTTCGGCTTAGTCTCTTTATTTATCAGGGGTTGCCACAGCGGAATGACCCACCAACTTATCCAGCATATGTTTTACACAGCAGATGCCCTTCCAGCCGCAACCCAGTACACCAATACACTCTCATTCCCACACATACACTACAGCCAATATTAGTTTATTCAATTCACCTATAACACATGTCTTTGGACTATGGGGGAAACCGGAGCACCCAGAGGAAACAAACGCCAACACCGGGAAACATGCAAACTCCACACAGAAATGCCAACTGACTGAACCGGGACTCGAATCAGCGACCTTCTAGCTGTGAGGCGACAGTGCTAACCACTGAGCCACCGTGGTGCCTTCATCATAATAATAGCATAATAATAATTTCTATTACTGTGTTGAAATACTGATAGTGGTATACACAGATTGATAGATAATGATAATGCCACTAGACAGTACAATAGAACTTCATATAACAGCTGGTGAAAATGTGTCTAATGTAAAATATATTCGATTCTCAAGTGCTCTTAAAATTACAGGAAAACATCTCACGGTTGTGTACACATGAAATTTCGCATTTAAATGTTACATTTAAGGATCAAGCAGACACTTGTTTTACCGAAACTACCAACAACTCTGAGGATAATGGCAGCGGTCAAACCAACAAAAGAGCAATAACACCTAAAAACTGCACAGCCCCTGAAAAAAACGGCACAAGTCAAAACACATAGCAATTTATATATATATATATATATATATATTCATACAACAGTTCTGTCTGGTTTTCAAATATGATTGGCTGATAGCCGTGCAATATTCTGCAATATCAGAATTCCTACAGCCTCTTTACCCTTTGTGTATTACTCCGCCCACATACAGCCAGCAAAAAGCAGACACTACAGATCTAAAGTTTAAAAGATGCTTGCTCAACTGTTTAACTGTCAGCTTATGATTTGAATCCGGAAGAAAGTAGTTCCTCATACAAGAGGGTTTTTGAGACTCTCCATGTCTTATTTTGTTTTTATATACACAATTATGCCCTTAAACTGTTGTATTACACAATATTACACTCGTAGCAGTGTGATATGGCTGTATATAGGCACTGGTGGGGGCACTAAGGCACCCGGCCTGCGGCCTCGTGCCAACGCACACCTCCCACCAATGCCGATATCCAGCCATATCGCACTGCTACTCGTGTGATATTGCTCATATATATATATATATATATATATATATATATATATATATATATATATATATATATATATATATATATATATATATATATATATATATATTGTTGCGATGGCAGGTGTGTGTCTGTGTGTGTGTGTCTTTCTCTCTCTCTCTACCTCTCTTTCCACCTGCAGGCCCCGCCCTAGCTACGTGCCCTGGGATTAGAGGAGGTTACCCAGGGCATCATTCAAAAAGGGAACAACGGGCATGGGGCGGGAGAGCATGTTTTGTTGGCGTGTTGTTTTGAGTTGAGGTGATAAAGTTATTCCTGTTGCTAAGATCGTTGATTGTGTTTCCAGTGTTGTTGTATAAGTTTTGACTGTGTTCGTTGTATACCCATCTGTGTTTTCCCCTCCTTTTGGTTTGTTTGTTTGTTTGTTTGTTGGTTGGTTGTTAATATTGTAAATATATTGTATATGGTAAGAGGCAGTAGGGGTGGACGGCACACTTTTCTTTTTGTAAATGTTTTCACCTGTTTTTGTTCTCAGTCAGGGAGGTAGCTGTAGATTTTGTATTTTTATTTCTGTCATTTTATTAGGTGTAGTTAGTTTCATTTGGGTGTTTAGTTTTTCTGTGGGTTCAGTCTGAGGTAGTTGGCTTCACGTTTTTTTTTTTTTTTTGGTTATAATAAAAGAAAAAGACAAAAAAAAAATACAAATAAAGAGACCCTACACAAAAGGGTCATTAAAGTGAATTTTATTTGGCGGGTGTTCTGTTATGTTGCGGCCTTGACCCTAGACCAGGGTCATAACAATATATACAGTTGAAGTCGGAATTATCAGCCCCCCTTTGAATGTTTTTTCTCTTTTAAATATTTCCCATATGATGTTTAACAGAGCAAGGAAATTTTCACAGTATGTCTGATAATATTTTTTCTTCTGGAGAAAGTTTTTAATTTTTAAACACCATTTTAAGGACAAAATTTTAAGCCCCTTTAAGCTATTTTTTCCGGATAGTCTACAGAACAAACCATCACAACCTAGTTAAGCCTTTGAATGTCACTTTAAGCTGTACAGAAGTGTCTTGAAAAACATCTTGTAAAATATTATTTACTGTCATCATGGCAAAGATAAAATAAATCAGTTATTAGAGATGAGTTATTAAAACTATTATGTTTAGAAATGTGTTGAAAAATTCTTCTCTCCGCTAAACAGAAATTGGGGAGAAAATAAACAGGGGGTCTAATAATTTTGACTTCAACTGTGTATATATAAATACTTATAAGGAAATATTTTTTCATTATGTTTGACCTGAAATCTTTCACTTTTAAAAAGTGTTTTATATTTCATTAATATTTGTTTTTATATTTCTACATT